GGTTAAAATAAATTATATAAACTAAACGCATTTGATGAGATCTGTGACCGTGTGAGAGCAGAACAGAAACAACTAACCAGTGACGTCCCGCAGGTTTCTGGTTGAAACTGATAAAGTAAAACAACAAACCAGGTCACCGACCTTTCTGACTTCTCGGGGTCAAAGGTTAGACTGGAGGACCAGGGCTACTGATACGTTGATTGGCAGCGAGATAGACCAATCGGTTTGTGTGCAACTTCATTTTAAACAGTGAGCTGGACGTTAAAAGTACCAAAATAAGACGTGTTGGGCCGGAGTCAGGATCGGCGATTCTTTATTGGTACCACTATTGATACTTGAGGTAGGCCCGCAGGTATGAGGAAAATATTCAATGTGCTATAACGTTGTTATATATTCTGTTATATTAACAATGTGCTAAATTTTAAGACTACAGACCAGTCAATGCTCCAGACAGACATCTTTCTATTAGCTTGTTTGTAATATTTGGCTAATTGCCAAGTTAACATTAGCTGTGCTTATATAGGACAAACAGGACGAGAGACTGAGGACAGAGCAGTTTAAAATGAACCCTTTCTACATGTTTACCTTACAGACAGGTGCACTGATAAAGTATTGTCTTGTTACTCGCGAAGGTTTTATTGCACATAAAGAGCGCAGCTGTCAGCTACTCGAGTAGTTTGGAGCTAACTTAACTTCACCGTCTCCACAGCGGCGGAGCGACATCTGCGTCTCTTTTTGCAGGGCGCTGTGCGTGCGAGACAGAGAGCAGCAGATCTGCAGTCTCGGGCCGTTTAGTACCGCGTTTCGGTGCCATCAAAAAATAAACATTAGTTTTCTTATCGGTCGCGTTTCAAGATAAAGCAGATTTGACGCTTGAGACATAATTACATTCTAGTCTCGATAGCAGTATCGATAAGCTCGGACCTTACTGATTTTCGGGGTTTTTTTCGGGTCCTTTTTAGAACCGGGTGTCGATCCCCTTCCCTACTCAACACAACGACGAGGACACGACAAGGACTAAACTGAGCACATTAAATAATTCAATTCAATTCAATTTTATTTATATAGCGCCAAATCACAACAACAGTTATCTCACAGCGCTTTTCATAAAAGAGCAGGTCTAGACCGTACTCTGTGATGATATTTACAGAAGCCCAACAGTTCCCACCAAGAGCAGCACTAGGCGACAGAGGCAAGGAAAAACTTCCTTTAAGAGGCAGAAACCTCGAGCAGAACCATGACTCAGGGTGGGCGGCCATCTGCCTCCACCGGTTGGGGTGAAGGAGAGAGAGGGAGAGACAGCCTACACAATATACACACAGAGGTACAGACAGTGAAGGTAATGTTGCTATAGACTGAATGAAAAATGGTACAGATATTTATAATAGTGTTAATGGTAACCATCGTAATGTTAATGATTATAATAACAATAATAACAATAAGACTAGCAACAATAGTCGTTGCAGCAGAGGGTGTCGAGCAGGAACACAGGGGCAGCAGGTGACCCGCAACCACAGATCCAGACTCCACAGCTCCAGAGCCAGAAACACCTGCAGGAAGTGATAGGAGAGAGGAGAGGGACGAGAAAGCACAAGACTACCGGAAAGGGGAGAAGTTGTGTTAGTAACATGCAATAATGGGATAAGGTTGCATACAGAGGGAGAGAAAGTAGAGGAGAGAGGAGCTCAGTGCATCATGGGAAATCCCCCGGCAGTCTAGGCCTATAGCAGCATAACTAAGGGATGGTTCAGGACTCACCTGAGCCAGCCCTAACTATAAGCTTTATCAAAGAGGAAAGTCTTAAGCCTACTCTTAAATGTGGAGATGGTGTCTGCCTCCTGAACCCAAACTGGAACCTGGTTCCACAGGAGAGGAGCTTGATAGCTGAACGCTCTGGCTCCTAGTCTACTTTTGGAGACTCTAGGAACCACAAGTAACCCTGCATTCTGGGAGCGCAGTGCTCTGGTGGGGTAGTAAGGTACTATGAGCTCTTTAAGATAAGATGGTGCCTGACCATTAAGAGCTTTGTAGGTAAGAAGAATGATTTTAAATTCTATTCTGGATTTTACTGGAAGCCAATGCAAAGAAGCTAAGACAGGAGAAATGTGATCTCTTTTCCTGGTTCCTGTCAGAACACGTGCTGCAGCATTCTGGATCAGCTGAAGAGTCTTAATGGACTTTTTCGAGCAGCCTGATAATAAGGAATTGCAGTAATCCAGCCTAGAAGTAACAAATGCATGGACTAGTTTTTCTGCATCATTTTTAGACAGGATGTTCCTGATTTTCTCAATATTACGTAGGTGAAAAAAGGCGGTCCTTGAAATTTGCTTAATGTGAGACTTAAACGACATGTCCTGATCAAAGATAACTCCAAGATTCCTCACAGTGGTGCTGGAGGCCAAGGCGATGCCATCCAGGGAAACTATATCTTTGGATAATGCGTCACGGAGGTGCTTAGGCCCCAGAGCAATAACTTCAGTTTTATCTGAGTTTAACATGAGAAAATTACAGGTCATCCAGGTTTTAACATCCTGAAGGCACATTTGAAGTTTAGCTAACTGATGAGTTTCATCTGGCTTGATCGATAGATATAACTGAGTATCATCTGCATAACAATGAAAGCTTATGGAATTTTTTCCTGATAATATTGCCTAAAGGAAGCATATATAAAGTGAAGAGGATTGGTCCGAGGACAGATCCTTGAGGAACTCCATGACTAACTTTGGCGTGCATGGAGGACTCATCGTTAACATGTACAAACTGAAATCGATCTGATAAATAGGACTTAAACCAGCTTAGAGCGGTTCCTTTAATGCCAATGAAATGTTCTAGTCTCTGCAATAGGATCTGATGGTCAATGGTATCAAATGCAGCACTAAGATCTAATAAAACCAGTACAGAGACAAGTCCTTTGTCTGATGCAATAAAGAGGTCGTTAGTAATTTTCACCAGTGCTGTCTCTGTGCTATGATGAGCTCTAAATCCTGACTGAAAATCCTCAAATAAACTATTGCTCTGTAGAAAGTCACACAGCTGTTTAGCAACTGCTTTCTCCAGAACCTTAGAGAGAAATGGAAGGTTAGATATAGGTCTATAGTTGGCTAAAACATCCGGATCAAGTTTGGGCTTTTTCAGAAGAGGTTTAATTACAGCTACTTTAAAGTACTGTGGTACATAGCCTGTTGATAAAGATAGATTGATCATATCTAGTATAGAGGTGCTGACTAAGGGTAAAACATCTTTAAGCAGCCTAGTCGGGATGGGGTCTAAGAGGCAGGTTGATGGTTTAGATGAAGAAATTATTGAAGTTAGTTGGTAAAGATTGAGGGAAGCAAAGCAGTCTAAACATATATCTGGTTCTACAGCTGTTTCTAAGGTTCCTGAGTTAAGAGATAAGTCGGTGCCAATTGAGGGCAGGTCTTGGTGAATTTTGTCTCTAATAGCTAGAATTTTATCATTAAAAAGCTCATGAAGTCGTAACTACTGAGAGCTATGGGAATACTTGGCTCAATAGAGCTGTGACTCTCTGTCAGCCTGTCTAGTTAATAGTCTGTTCCTATTTTCCTCTATTAATGACGAGTAGTACGCTGCTCTGGCATTACGGAGGGCCTTCCTATAAGTTTTAAGACTATCTTGCCAAATTAAACGAGAATTTTCCACTTGGTGGAACGCCAATTCCTCTCAAGTTTCCGTGATATTTGCTTTAATTTGCGAATTTCAGTATTATACCATGGAGCTAACCGTCTTTGTTTTAGTATTTTCTTTTTTAGAGGGGCTACAGAGTCGAGTGTAATTCGCAGCGAGCCTGCAGCACTATCAACAAGATGATCGATTTGGGAGGGACTGAAATTAGCATAGGAGTCCTCCGTTACTTTGTGACTAGATAATGTATTTAGAGCTGATGGAATCGCATCCTTAAATTTAGCTATGGCACTATCAGACAGACATCTTGTATAGAAATTTTTGCCCAGTGGCGAGTAGTTCAGCAATACAAACTCAAAAGTTATCAAACAGTGGTCGGATAAAGAGGGATTCTAATACAGGAGGAGCACGGAGGGGGCGAACAGGTGAAACACATCAGGCTTATCAGACAACAGGAAACAAAGCTAGACGAAGACAGGAAGTAAAGCACGCGAACAAACTCAAGGACGGGCCTAGGAGAACAGAGCACGAAAAGAGAGTGGGCGAAACAAAACAGAACCATGGACAAGGAACTAGAATACAGAGACAGGGACTGATAAACACGACAAAAGTAAAAACAGGAAAAATATTACAAACAAAAACAGAACCACAACACCCAGGGCGTCACATGGCTACGTCCTTCAGTGGCTGGTACCAACGCGCATGGCAGCCTTTAGTGTTCAACTCACTGGGGGACGCCATTCAGCGCCATTGTTCAACGCCAAAGTTAGGAGTCAGAGTTAGGACGTGGCTGGGCTTTTAGCCAGGAGACCATCGGGAAGCTTCCGGACTGAGAGCTGATGTGAGTCCCCAAGTCCAAATATGGTCATGTCCGGTGTCGCTGGTGCCGATCGAGGCTTCAAAACAGCAGTCCACAAACCAACGTGTAACGTCACGATGACTACGTTCTTTTATACAGTCTATGGATGTAAAACAAAAAGTCAACACTAATTCCTTTTAGTGATGTGGTGTAATTTACCTGAGTAACATTACTGAACTTGTCACATAGTTAACATAGATATTTTAAACTAAAACACAATCTTTTCCAAGTAGTTTTGGTGCCCAAAACACATTTATTCTTGCTAACTTCTTGCTAACAATGCTAACGCCAAAGTGGGGTTGACAAAGCGTGTGAGAACGGGTTGGTTGGACTAAACCAGAATAGTCCAGCTCGTCTCCCCACAGGAGGTTTTAGAGAGACTTTTCTTTTAGAGGAAGCTGAAGTCTGAAGTTTAAAAAGTTTTCCATTCAGGCTTCTGTAAGTTATCAGATTAGTTTCCGTGTTCCTCTGTTGACTGACTGACTGTTTCCTCCTGCAGACTCTCAGCAGACAGAACACCTCTCTTCCTATCAGCTGACTGTCCCTCGACCAATAGGAGGCAGGCTGAGGCGGGACGTGGACGGAAGACCCCCCAATCAGGTACTGAGCTTTTACTGCTTTAAAGTTTCAGCCTGTTGTTTTTCATTTCTTTTTATCTGCTGCGTGACCTCTGACCTTTAGCAAACACAAACTCAGCAGCTGAGCAGTCAGTTCCACCTCCTGACTGCGTGACCTCACTCCGTCCTCACCGTGACAGCAGCTCATCATCTCCATGTAACCAGAACAGTTCATACGTCACACGGCTGTTACTGGAAAAGCTGTTTTGTGGGGATCTGCCATTAAAATACTGTTGTCACTATTTTTATGGAGAGAGGCCGGGTTTCTCTGTTTGGTCAACAAGGAAGGTTAATAATGAGAGAAAAACAATATTTATTTATTAATATTATTATTTATTATTGTCATAAGGGCCCGGGCACAAACTTGCAAGGATCCTGTTGAAAGGAATTTTTTGTTTCTTTGTTTTTCCCGAATGAATCGCATTTTTGGCGGCCTAAACCTTTTTTTCAAAATTCAAACATGCCGAATATTTATGTCATATGGTTTTTGTGCATGGGCCACGTTTCACCGAATTGTACAAAATTTGGGCTGTATCAGGTCCCGACCTACAAAAAAGCCACAGGCGGCGATGTCCTAAATCCACCAGCAAGTCGGCCATTTAGAATTTAATGGTATTTTTTTGCGTTTCATAGGTTATGTACTTTAACAAACTCCTCCTATAAAATTAATCTGATCAACTTCAAATTGTTGCTGTGCAATCTAAAGGCTTCGACGATGAAAAGTTGTGCTATCTGTGAGGTTTCGTGGAACGGCGTGCCCGTGGCGTGGCGTAAAATATCAATCATTTGCCTTGAAACAGGTAGTTGTTATAACTTCAGTGTGCAAGTTTGATAACAGTCCCACCCTGAACACATCTACATGCTAACATTCAGGTAATTCAGGTAAGCGGCGTGCGGCAGTCATCACGCAATTTACACTTTTGAGATTTTGAAAGTTTCCCAATGTGTTGAACACTTGATGTACTTGGTTATAAGGTATAGTTACCTGGTGCTCTCTAGCGCCCTGTGATGGTTAGGGTAAAAAGGATAAAGGGCTTCGGGGGCTGTCAGCACCTTTAACAGTAACATAGTTAGCTAGCTCTAACGGCGGCTAACTAAGGCTGCATGAAACGCTACAAAATGCTACATAAAACGTTAAAAATCAACAAGAATTTTCCCTAAAATTAATGCTAACACTGGCTAGCTAACGCTAACAAAAACTAATGTTGGCCTTTTGTCTCACACGGGAACCAAACTCCGGTCTCCTGCGCTGGGCTCCATCCACACTCCAGCGTTTTTGTTTCAAAACGGAAACGTTTTGCTACGTTTCAGCCCCCCCCCCAAAACTAAAAACGGCAAATCTAAACACCTAAAACAGAGAGGTGTGAAAACGCTGCTAGTTTTAAACTCCGGGGTAGCGTGTTTGTGCTGACAGGTGAAAACGCTCACGTGTGGCTTCCTGATTGGCTCATGCAAAGCAGAAACACGATGCTGCTGACAGAGTTTTAGTGTTGGTGTTTTTATTAAAGCCCAGCCTCTTTGTCCTCCTGTGTTCCTTTCAGTAACAGTTCCACCTCGTTGTCGGTCCAAGCAGAGAAATCTCTGCTGTGGTTCTGCTTCACCAACTATGAAACGCAGCTGAAACATTGGTGTTGACGGAGGTTATTTTCATTTTAAGACAAAATGGTGGATGTGGCCTGAGGGTCACCTAATTATCTAACCATCTACTCAACAACCAGCTCCAAAATAGGATTTTTGTGGCTATTTATATCAGATACCTGGTGTTTTCACAAAAATTTCACATGAGCACGGAAGCTGCTCATAATGTAAAATTTGGTCGTTTTAAGCCCTTCAACTGTCGACCTATGAGGACTCTGGATGTGCAGCTGAAGGCGTCCACAGTAGAGCTGCAGCGGTGGAGGAAAGTTTCCCCTTCTGCCTGTGCACGTGCAGAGGAGCTGACTGAAATCATTCTCTGTCAGATTAATAAGGAGTGATTCAGCTGTTGAAGCTCCAGTCAACAGCTCAGGGTGAACACAGTTCATGTAGCAGAACCAACACGTTTGTTCCTACATCTCAGTGAAGTAATGCCTTCCCAAACCCCTGAACCTCCAACATTTAGGTCCCCACAAAGCGGCCTGACCTCACAACTATAGTGAAATCCTGTTTTATGGACCCCACAAACACAGTAAAAGAGACACACACAGCAGAGACGTGTCGTTACAGGAGGATTAAATGTGCGTCTCCTCTGCTGTCATCCTCCCTCCCGCCCTGCATGCTGGAGCACGTTCAACACACTCGTACAGATTCACACTCTGTGGCGACATGCGAGCGAGTGACGGCGTGTGAAAGTATGGTAACAGGGCGTGTGTGCGCGTGTTTTTATTCTCTGCAGGCATCAAATATCAGCTCCATCATCTGAACACCCTTCAGGTTTCATCTTCACTTTAACCTCTTTATTCAGCGTTAACAGTTTAGAAGCTCTTCAGAGATGTTTTTACACACTGTGATGTGGTTGTAAGCAGAACATTTTAAAGGAACAGTGCTGATAATAAACATTATTTCAAACTTGACTACCCGCTGGTCTGCCTGCAGGACACATCACTGCTGCTGCCGTTAAAGTCATCACGTTACATAAAGATTGTTAGATAAGATAAAAATAATGTGGCTACACCTCAGTGTGGCGTCTTCAAAGCCGTCCAACAGTGTAATACAGCTTTGAATTCCTTATATTCAGACCATGGACAGTAAAAAGAAGAAAGTGTGGCCGGCAAGACGTCACCCGTTGGCTTCTGGACCGCCGTTTTGAAGCCTCGAGTTTGGCATTTTGTCCGTCGCCATCTCGGTGTTTTGGACCCAGACGTGACCATATTTAGACGAGATGGGGGTGTGTGGTGAAGCAGGACCCAAACGCAGGTATAGTTCAATGATTTAATAAACAGAGGGCGAGCACACTTACAAGAGCGGCTGAGTTCAGGAAATCCAAAATGACACAATCCAACGCAAACAGGGTAATCCAACAGAACAGGTCAAAATCCAAACGACTGACGGGGGACAAGCAAAACGAGACTGAGCAGACGAGCAAACAACACACTGTACACAAGGTAATGACCCGACAAAGACAAGACAGAAACACCAGGTACATATACAGGGACTAACGAGACACAGGCAGGCAACATGCACAAGCACACAGAGTAACTGGACACAAGGAATAACTGAAACTCAAAACACAGACTAACTATATAACAGATACTGGACACAGGACAGAACCCAAAAACAGATACTAAACAGACTATAAATAACATGACTGACTGAAAACAGACACGCCCACAGTGTGACAAAAACAAAACGTACGTACCGGGAAAAAATTCTCCTAAAAAACCCTGAACAAGACATTTTTTTTTGTCCAAAATCTTTCAATTAACTTTCATAAAATGAAAACACACCGTGAGAGAAAGCTCTGAGACAAAAACACTGACGGCACCCAAAAACAAGTTCCCAGCAGCCATAATTTACTAAATGAACATCACGCTGTGTTGAAGAAGACTTGAAACTAGCGACTGAGACCAGAAACTCATCAGGAAAGTGTTTACTGAGGGAATAAATCAGCTGACAAGTAGAAACATTTTCTAACATTCTTTCTGCAGCCGCTGGAGGAAACACAGGAAACTGAAGTTTCGCTGAAAGACAGTTCTCGCTCTGAAGTCTCGTGAGAGGCGAGTTGTTGCAGGAAGACGCCGGTGGAAACGGGAGTCAAGAGTCGGGGAGAGGAGTTCGTTGTTGGCTCCCGGAGCTGATCGCGTGAATTCTTGTGAGTCGCCGCGAGTTAAAATTTTTTAAGGAAGCCGCGTGAAGCTGCACAGAGCAGATCAAATCAGTCAGTTTTCTAAATAAAACGTTGCAGATCTCGATCGTACATCAACAATAACCACAGTTACAACAGACAAAAAAAGAAACCATTCAACTACGTAGCTACTTAATCATGTGAAGTGTTATGGCCCTTCACATTTAATATTTTATTACTATTATAACTATTATTGTTAATGCCATATATATATATATATATATATATATATATAGTGTTTTTCATCCCTTGACCTTTTCTCTATATTATTAGCCTTGTGTGGGGTTTAGGTCAGAGCTGAGAGATTTAGTTTTTCCCCCTCTTGTTGTTCCTCTCCGGGAATGTTCATTCAAGGCCGAGAGAGGATCTCTGTTCCCCAAAACACAGAAACCTAGACTGTGTAAATGATCACGCATCCCTTTGCTCGGGGCCAGATGGCCGAAGCCGCCCCAGGCAGCAGGTCTCTGGACCAGCTGTACATGTGTTTTAGTACTTCTACTACTTTAAATTCTTCAGACAACCGTTTGTTGTAACTCAATTATTTGCTCAACACAAGCACAGATTACTGAATCAACTCAATCTAAACATGTCAGCAAAATCAGACATCAGGATCTGCAGCAGAGGACGGGACCAAGCCGGGTCACAGGGCGGTGCTCCCGGTAGGCCTAGTAGAAGCACAAAAAGGACAAATTAACAACAAGCCGACAACGTGTCCCACTCCTGAGACACCAGAGTAACTTGACGCCGGGAAGAGGACAGAACAAAACCGCATCGCAGCTGGACAGGGAACACATAGTCAGCTGCTCCACGTACACAACGAAATCCTCCCCCTCGTTTCCACGCGTGTCTTCCTGCAACAACTGGCCTCTCGCGAGATTTCAGAGCGAGAGCTGTCCTTGAGTCTGTTTAAAAACAAAGGGGGTCACCGGGAGATCCTTTTAGGGATCCTTTTAGGGATCCTCTCCATGCTGCTGTCAGACACCTGGTGTAACAGTCTGAGCCTGTCGCTGGCAACAAGACGCCCTTTCTGTGGACGCCATTTTAACAGGAAGGAATCAGCTGCCGTCTGAAGCATCCACTGCGGGTTTCAAACCTTCCTGTACCTACGAGTCATTTCACCGGCGTCTAAATAAGGCTTTTGATGGAGCTAGGCGGCTAACAGTTTCCCCCTGCTTCCAGTGTTTGTGCTAAGCTAAGCTAAACACTTCATGGCACTACAGGTGAAAATCACATCTTCTTTTAATAAGACAAGTTACTTTTTGTGATATAACAATAAAAATAACTTGCAGAGCCTGAATCATTCGGTGAGTAATAACTTCGGGCAGGGCGGGTGTGTCTGGTCCTCTGTTGACCTTTGACCCCTGCTGGGTTAGAGGACAGAGGAGCTGCTGTTGGCAGCTGGGTGATGTAGTCCACCGCTGACTTCCTGCCCTGGTTCATCTCCAGCACTCACACCAGCTGTCTGTGTGTGTGTGTGTGTGTGTGTTCACCCCCGCTGTAATCACACACCTGCTGGCAGCCGCACACACACACACACACACACACACACACACACACACAGCGAGGCGAATGTCTGCCAGGTGAGTCAGCGGCTCAGGTGACCTTGAGTTTAGTTTGTCAGACTTTTGCTTTTTGGCCTTTCTCTGAGCTTCCTGTTCACACCTGTGGCCTGTACTACGAAGCGGGGTAACTGGCTTATCCAGGTAACTTCAGGAGTAACTTGGTGACGTCGGGTGTAACTTCCTGATTAACCTGTACTACGAAAGGTGGACGGGTGTTACCCGAGGTCTGTTGCCATGGCAATTTTACGCCGCATCTCTAAACCGCTCCGAGCAGGATTTGTTCGTGGTTAACTCGAGGTTCCCCTGCAGGTGGACTACACACCACATCTGTACTCAGTGTTAATGATGAAGTATTAATACACACCACTTCATAAAATATGTTTAGATTTCAGCCTGATTTGTTCCTCTGCGGCTGCACTGAAGTTCTGAACACAACAGCATCACGTTCAGACAGCGAGTCCTGCAGCCTCGGGGATTTAGAGAGGAATCTTAATTAATTAACGGGACAGTTTCTTAGATGGAGCCCATCTGTAGGCTATAATTGAATTCTGCTGAGTGTTTTCACATATTTAGATTGACTATTTTACGTGGCAAAAATTACGGGGTGGGGGTTAATAAACCAAGAAAAAAAAAATCCTAGATGAAGGTTTCAAATTTACAAGAAGAAAAATCTGAAAATTCCCTGAAATTAAAGTCACAAAAAAGCAAAACTCTGGTGTTTTCGTCTGTAGACGCCCAATCCACGGAAAGGTTTTTAAGGTGCATGATAGAGACTGTGGGCTAAACTCAGGAGTATTTCCTCACTACTGAATCCGATCGTGAAGTTTAATATAACTTTCCACTGCACATAATTGGCCTGCACGGCAGACGTGTGTGTGAGATGTTGCAGCTTTGCAAAGTGAAGCTGCTCTCATGAATGTGTGACTATAATGTCAGAGAATATTCAAGTTTTTTACTTGTAGATTAATCGTGGAAATTAAATTCTGTCTCAGATTATTCCCCCTCTCCTCTGGCTCCTTGTTTTCTGTTACAATGGACCTTATGTGCAGTTGGACCTTTACATCTTCATCATATTGCACATAAAAGAAGAGCCCATAAAATACATAATAAGAGATTAGAACTACAATAAGAACTAAGAAGCCTCTCTGGCTTTGTCACCTGTTATCTTGATTTATCTTGATTATGATTTAGCCGTTAACTTGTCTTTACATTCATAATTTTCTGACACTACCAATGTGCGTTCCTTTGGAGAAATACGGAGCATGCGGCGTTGCAAAAAAACTCTGCCTGCACGGCCGAACACGCCACTTTTATGTGAACGCGCACCGACTCCAAATAAGTTAACTCGGACTCAACTAACCAACATCTGATCCCCCTTCGTAGAACAGTTTAACTTGAGTGTCGGCGGTCAGTTTGTCAACCTGAGTTAACTCTGAGTAGGTTGAACTCCCTTTGTAGTTCAGGCCACTCGAGATCAAACCCTGATCCTGAACCTCTCACTGCCCCCTACTCTGCCTCTGATTGGCTAACCTTAACCAACCTAAACAACAACTCAGGGCCGGACAATAAAACAATAACAGTAATTATCGCAACATAATTTTTTTCAAATGTTTAATAAATATTCAATAACTGTTTGATTTTATTCATTTGAATCAGACACGAATTAGGACTTTTTTTTTTTACTAAGATGTTTATTTTGTTGAGAAAAAAGGACTGAAAAAAGCTTTTACTTGATTTTATTCATGCATATTTGTTGAGAAAGATTTGATCATAATAGTTTTTAAAGTTCTGCCTCCACTGTTTGGCCTCAAGTGTTCGTTCTGACCATAAAGACCGTCAGGTTTCTTCAACTTCCACTCGGGAGCAGAGCTCAGCCTTTAAACTCGATGTGATACTTATCGTGATAATTATCGACATCTGGAGATGTGAAACTTTTTTATCGTGATAACATAAAACACAAAAAGTACCAGCCAATCAGAGGCGGAGATGTTGAAAATACAGCTTATTAGGGTCCAATGTATTGATTGATCACCATGTTTGTAGATGTGACTAACAAGTCCTGTCTCTCTGTGTCCCTCCAGGTGTCTTACGTCATCAGTGTGGATGGAAACGACCATGTTGTTCACCTGGAGAGAAATGAGTAAGCTGTGAAGTGAGGATGCTGTTTCACTGTCGGCATCAAGACAGTTCAAAGAGCTTTAACATGAGACATAAGAAACACGACATAAGAAACACGCGAGCGAGCGATAAAGCCCAAAATGTTACCGCGATATCTTTCGTTCAAAGGCCGATTTTTACTCCTGAGAGAAAGTTGAAGAAACCCGATGGTTAAATGTAATTTTAAACTTTTCTTTACAGCAAGAACCTGACAAACACTTGGCATTTAAAACATTTAAAATAAAAATGAAGTAAAATCTCTTTTCAAGAAAAATGAAGTGCTAATTTGTTCGTGATTTAAATTAATAAAATCAAACATTTATTGAATATTTATTATCTTGTTACTGTCGGAAATGATTTCGCGATCATTTTATTGTCCAGCCCTAACGAAGAGACACATTTAAAAGGGATTTTAAAGAGTAAAATCAAACAGAAGATGAGTAGAATAAAAGCTAAAATATTAAACAGTAGTGTAATAGTGTTAATTACAGTGCAAGACCTGAATAAATCCTTATCAGATTTAATAAAAGACCCGATGCTCGGAGCAGACCTGCAGTTTGTTTCAGATATATGGAGAATGAAATCTGATCCAGGTTCAGTTTGGAAACGAAGCGGACCTGATCCTGGAGTCAGTGTTTCATAAACCGACAGCTGTGTTTGAAAGCAGGAGGAAAGATCTGGGCTGCGTACCAAAAGTGAAAAACAAATCTCCTTTCCTAACCACCTTTCCTCGACCTCATGGAAAACGTCGTGAGGTCGAGGAAAGGTGTGAAGGAGAATCCAGAAGGACGTCACAAGTCCAGTAACAGCTCGCATGGGTCTCAGTTACTGTTGACAGATCAAGACATGTTAGAGAGTCATGGCATAAGAGAGAAAAGGCTTAACAGCCAGTGGTAACTGATCAAAACCCTTTATCCATCATGGTCAGAGATATCTCTTTTTTATTATTATGGTAGAAAACACTTTATAGCATATTTCAACAACCCGAAACACAAGTGTCAACACTTTATTAACAGCGTCAGATCAGAGCAAAGCCAAAAGAAAGAAGGAAACTGTGAGAGTCTCATTCTTCAAAATGTGATTGATGAATTTTATCGTTTGAGAAAACAACACGTGCATAAAAACTCTTTTGGGTTTTTATATCTTCTGATCCAGTTCATTGATTCTGGTTCTGGATCAAAATGTCCGGCGCATAAAACAGGAACGAAGACACGTGTGATTAAATACGTTTAAAAAGAAAAGAAACAGCGAGTGTACAACATAATAAAAGGCAACATGATGAAGGTTCGTGTTGTCTGACTTCAGTCTCAGTGTGCAGGAGGAACACATTATCTTCTAGTCTGACAACATCATAACGGACGCTGCTGATCGGCCAATCAGATCGATCAGTTATCGACGTAAACAGCAGAAAGCAAAGCTGAAACACAGACGATAATCTTCAGTCATTAATCTTCCACCGACGTCAAACAGCTGCTTTATTATTATTATTATTATTTTATCTGTTTTCATTGCAGACAGATGTGAGATGTTTAGTTTCTGAGGGTGCAGAGAGGTTCCAGTCTGAGATATTCCTCCGTCTGCTCTCTGATGGTCGTTCAGCCTCCGTCAGCTGTCGGGAACAGACTGATAAACCTCGGCGTCAGGAAGAGACGCGATAACAGTCTGCAGAGAAACGTTGAAAGAAAGAGCCAGAAATAAGATACATCACTATATACACCACAACAGCCCCAATATAAGTTTACTGCACCAAAACAGACATTTTCTGATCTAAAATGAACAATTAAATGAAGAGTTTTGTTCGTTATTTCACTGTAGGATCAACCGATGACCAGCTGCTCTGCCTTCCCTCATTAATATTGTATATAATATATATCATAAAGTCCAAATACACCTTCTGACGGTGTGAGAACAGGCTGCTCCAGGTGGAGAAATGTGTTTACTTTCCTTACACTGCAGCAGAATAACTTGAAGTTGTTCACTCATTATTGAGCCCTGAAAAATGTCTTTTACATTATTTCTAAACTGAACTTCTAATCTGTACCTTCTTTGGTTATTCTGCAGCAAATGAAGCACATCTCTGCAGTAGTGGAGGATCAGTAAACGTGTCGTGTTTGGTTTTCATGTGGAGAAACACAACCTGACACCTTCCTGTGTTTGTTGTTGTTGTTTTCAGACTGCTGCTTCCTGCAGACTTCACCGTGTTCTCCTACAGTGACAACGGGTCACTCATCACATCCAGGCCACCTGTGCAGGTAACACACAGTTGATCAAATACAGCAAAACGTTTATTTAAACTGAATCAGTGGTGCCTTGAACGCCCAGTTGTGAACGCAAGCGCGCTTTACTTTCCTGCCTGTTGACGAACAAAAGTTTGGGGCTAGGCCAGTTAAAAACCCCAAACTTCTCTCCATCACTTTAAGAAACTCGCCACAAATAGTCCGTAACTAATACTCAAATAACCTCTGTGGAAACAGTCGAAGATTAGCGGCGCTAAGGAGTTTTTATTCCGTAAAAAGATAAAAGCCCGAGTCAGCTGCAGAGCCTTAAACCTGCGTCCTCTCTAACAGCCAGCAGGGGGCGACTCCAGCGGCTGCAGAAAAAAGTGTGATTGAATAGAAGTCTGTGAGAAAATGTTTCTACTTGTCAGCTGATTTATTCCCTCAGTAAACACTTTCCTGATGAGTTTCTGGTCTCAGTCGCTAGTTTCAAGTCTTCTTCAACACAGCATGATGTTCATTTAGTAAATTATGGTCCCATTTAGAGGAACAGAGACCAGGAAGCAGGGGAGGCTTTAGGGCGGGGCTACAAGCTGATTGACAAGTCGCTACCATGGCGACCTGTCAATCAGGATGGAGGCGACTCATATCCGCTGCTCTGTGTACATTTAACCACCACTGCTGAAAAAGCTCATCAGGAGTCGGCTGCTCATTTTTCAGTAAGAACGTTTAACTTTAAGCCTGTTTGTCGCTAGCAAAAATTAGCATCCCAGCTAATATCACAGTTAGCGTGAATTACAGACGCACCTAGCTAACCAAGCTAGCTAGCTCCGCACACGGCTGTTAGCTCCACCCTCTTGTCCAAATATGGTCACATCCGGTGCCGCTGGTTGCAAATAATCAACATGGCGGCGCCCTATTGGCCAAACTCGCAGCTTCGAAACGGCAGTCCACAAACCAACGGGTGACGTCACCATGACTACGTCCACTTCTTATATACAGCCTGTGGTTTTCTTTGTTGACTGTTTTTAACCATTAAATGGCCATAACAACATTAAACTCATTGGAAAAAGCTCAACATGTTTTTCTGGTCAAATAATCACTGTGAATCAACCATTTCTGTTATTCCGGGCAGTCCCTTCAAGCTGTTGTCACCGTGACTCAGCAAACGTCTTGGCACAAACGATCATCCGTTTACGCAGGTTGACATATTTTTCTCCTCAGTCCCAGGCGCCACCGCACGTGGCTAACGCTTGTTTACGGCGGCACCTGGTCCTTTATCTGCCCTGACCTTTCAGAAACTCAGTGAATTCTCACTCAGTGAATTCTCACTCTTTATCCGTCTCTGTGTAACTTTACATCTCCGGCCCTGCAAACTGCTTATCATAGTGACTCAGCAAATAATAGTGACAAGGCGGTACGTGCAGAGAGATTCAACATGACATCATAACCGTCTTTCATTAAGGCAGTGCCACTCAAACTGTGATTAAACTTTAAATGACCATGTCGACTGTTATGATCTAATAATTAATAAATAGCAATGTAGATGATAAAATACCTCGAAGCCCGTTTCACAACGTTTCAAGAAAACACATCGCTGGAAATCATAGAAACCTGCGCAAAACGTTTTGTCCCTGACCCCCGGCTTTTTCTCCAGGGAGCCAATCATAGAGCAGATCTGAGCAGCCAGGAAGTGATGGACCACTCAGAGCTTTAGATAATAAACTACAGGATGTTGGGAGAGAAGGTCGAGTCACATGAAAGCAGAAATAACAGACCACAGAAGAAGAAGAAGAATTAATGACAGACTGATGATTTCAGCCTCGTCCTCACGTTGTTCTTCGTGTTAAGAAACCAAAATGCCTCTGAACCTGAACCGCCTCCCGCCGCGAGCTGCTCTGTCTGTCAGCGGAGCCGTTTGGTTTATTGAAACAAGATTTTTCCCAGCAAGAGAGGCATGATGGGAGTTCCCTCTGGCTTGATATTTCCTGTCTGCTGACCTGCCGCGCTCTTTACCCCGGGGTTTCCTCTCCCCTCCACCCTCTGTTTGATATCGGATATTTGATGAGACGTTGATGATCGACAGCCTCTGGACCCCTGGGATCCAATCCCACGTGACTTTACTGGCACTTAAACGCGTCAAAGCTCGATCAGATAAAGGCTGAGAGTCTCTGAGCTAAAGGCTAACGTTAGCATTCTGACTGCTGATGTTTAGTGTGTTGGCAGCAACTAACAGTTCATTTCATTGTGGATTAAACTGCAGATTTTTTGTCTCCTCACAGTTTCCCAGAGCCCAAAGTGACGTCTTCAAATCGCTTCTTTTAACCAAACAACCCAAAGACTCCTTATTTACTGCCAGAAATGACGAAAGAAAAGCAGCAAATCTTCACTTTGAAGAATTTAGAAGCTCATTATCATATGGAAAACTAATGAAATAACTTAAACTGGGTGCGACTAAATGTTGTCATTAACTGAAATAAAGCGAGGCTTTAGAATAAAACCATAACTAACTGAAACTGTGTCGTGTGTGCTAAACTAAAACAAACTAACATTACAGAGTAAAAGTCTTTAGTTTTCCTCTTTGTCACTTTATTTCACAGAGCCGACATCAACCTGCAACTTTTGGCTGGATATGAAATCCATCTTCCAGTTTCTTAGCAGTGCCAGTTGTTAGGACCACGGCCCTCGCCATCGGCATCATGGCGGCGAAAGTCGGGATTATAATACAATATTATAAACTGGGAAAAACTAAACTAATTATCAAACTAAAAATAAACTAGCAAACCGCTTAAAAAACTAATTAAAACTAGTAGAGGTGGTGATGGAGCAGTGGATAAGACACATGCCTTCGGGTTCAATCCCCCGCTGTGACACCAATGTGTCCCTGAGCGAGACGCTTAGCCCCTCGCTGCTCCAGAGGCGTGCGACCTCTGATGACGGACAGCTGAGGCAAAGTGTTGGACGCGTTACCATGTTGACCTGATGGCGGCGCCAGAGGAAAAGTTATTACAGTTCATCCTGAGGGGAGAGTGAAGGTCTGACCTACACAAACCGTCCAGCATTAAGGCTCTGAGGATGGACGGGGGTCTGACGGCGCCGGCGTGAGTCGGTCGTGTCCGAGTGAAATCTAAACTTTACAGCCTCGGAGCTCCGGCTTCTGGGAGGGAGGACTTCTGGGAAATTATTCGTCTAATGGTTCCTCGTCTTCCTTCCACCTCAGAATGGCTCCGTAGAGGTTAATTTACTTTTTAACGGACTTTGTTGACGGAGAGACGGTGACGTGTAACACAGCACCGAGATGGTTCAGAACAGCCGCCATGTTTGTAGTTCTTCTGTAAATCTAAGTAGTTCAGGACCAGTGAAAAAACTTAAACGGTACCAAAGTTAAAACCAACGTTTACGACATTTTCAGATCTGAAATTAACAATTAAATGAAGGGGTTTTGTCACCGTAGGATCAACCAATGAGCAGCTGCCTGCATTAATATCATACATAATATATATAAGACAGTACTAATAAAGCTTCTGAGGGGGAATTAACAGGCCGCAGAAATAATGTTGCGTTATTTAAGGTTTTTCACTTAGATTTACAAACAAACTAGAGAAATCTTTACTTATTTCTGCCGTTGTGCTTTCACCTTTTTAAAATGTCGTTCCTGTCACGTTCTCTCTCAGAATCAGAAACAGCTTTGTTGCCAAATAGTTTTGACACATACAGGGAATTTGCTTTTGGTGATGCGTGTAAAAATAGACGTAATAAAATAAATATAACAATATGAAGGAATTTCCTGCAGCTTGCTGGTCGATCCGACGCGTGAATGTAGATTAAACACACATTAGAACTAAGCACCTGTGTCACTGGTACTTCTCTATGTAGTATCACGTATTTTTTGACATTACCAGATGTGTAACGGTCTCCACATGGTGTCCACATTGTTTCTTCTGGCCCTCCCTGCCGACGTGTCTGTGTTTCTGTCGGTGTTACTTACTGATGACTGTAAATACTGCAGAACACGCCGCCCCCTGCTGGCGTCTGGGAGACCCCGCAGCCTGCATCATCTTAAGTGTGCGTTGTGTTGTGTTGCAGAACCACTGTCACTACCAGGGCTTCGTTCAGGACATGCAGGGTTCATCTGTGGCTTTGAGCATCTGCAACGGCCTCAGGTAACACACACACACACACACACACACACGTGTTTCCATCACTGCAGACCAGAGCTGGACTTAAGCTGCGTTTCGACCCCGGAACCAGGAACCTTTGGAGGGACCGGGGTCTAAATTTAGTTCTGGGGTCGCTCGGGGGGGGGGGTAGTACTGCTCCTCTCTTTTCCACCATGTTTGCAAACCAGTAAGTCACAACCAACATTCAGAGAGCCGCACGAGTCTCGCCGACGTCACCTGAGAACGTCGGCATTAAATGTGTTGCTGGGAAACAGCAGCCGCCGTGCGGCGGTGGGTTTACAGCGAACAGCTGATGGAGTTTAGCTAAATACTGAGTCCAGAGTTGTTTAAGTTTTCATCAGTCAGAGCTGAAGTCGGCCTCCTGCTCTCCAAAACAAACAGAGCAGCTGATTACAGCAGGTAATAAAGCTCGTTAAACATCACGTTCCTCCGACGCTCTAAATACACACTAAATACACACTAAATACACACTAAATACACTGTGTACACACTAAATACACACTGTACACACTAAATACACACTAAATACACTCTGTACACACTAAATACACACTAAATACACACTAAATACACTCTGTACACACTAAATACACTCTGTACACACTAAATACACACTAAATACACTCTGTACACACTAAATACACACTAAATACACTCTGTACACACTAAATACACTCTGTACACACTAAATACACACTAAATACACTCTGTACACACTAAATACACTCTGTACACACTAAATACACACTAAATACACTCTGTACACACCAAATACACACTAAATACACTCTGTACACAACAAATACACACTAAATACACTCTGTACACACTAAATACACACTAAATACACACTGTACACAGTATCTCCTCTCTCAAGGACACAGTTAGTTTCCTATTTTCACTCACAGATGGCTGTGTGAGGGTGTGAAGTCCACCTGCTGTTTCAGCCTGAGTGATTTCTCAGTTCACACACAGGCCTAATTAATACTTTGTCTTTCCGTATCGTTGTTCAACAGGCGCACAGTTTCCGTCTCTGTGCCGCTGAAGGTGTCTCATCAGGTGTTCCTAAAGGGAAGTCCCTGATTGGCTCTGAAGGCTGTAGGGCCTGTTGCGTCGTCGTGTAACCGAGGCCTCCTAAACTCACTAAACTCCCAGCTAGAACTAGACTCTTCAATCAGGACTGGGTTTTGGTATCGAGAACCGGTTCCAAGAAAGTAGGGTGGCGCCATGTGACCTGTGGCGGTTGATGAGGATGTGATGTAACGGTGTAATGACCTCGCGTCTCTCTCTCTCTCTCTCTTCAGAGGAGTGTTGCATCTCACCGACGACAGTTACGGCATCGAGCCGCTAGACTCCGCCCCCGACCGGCACCTGGTTTACCGCCTGCAGGATGTGACGTCGCAGCCGCGGGGATGTGGAACGCCGCACGACCACAACAACGCCACGGAGCGCGCTCAGCGCGAACCGGAGGAAATCCCCCACAGACGGCACAGCAGGGTGCGTTCACAGACGCACGCGCTCTCAGGATTTAATATTCCCCCGTTGGTTCAGTGAATTAGCTTGATGCCGTTTCTGTGCGTTGCAGATGAAGCGAGCGATTCTCCATCAGACTCACTACGTGGAGCTGCTGCTGGTGGTCGACCACGAGAGGGTAACACACACACACACACACACATACACGTAGTCAAACAGCTGCGTGAGCGCTGCTAAAGGAACAGGTGTGTTTGTTGGTAGTCGGCTGGTTTGGTTCAACCGTCAAGGCAAAACAAATAAAACGATCAAGGTAAATAAACGTGTAATAAATGTTTTTAAAGTGCGTCAGGAAATCCAAAATTGTTAAACAGAGTTAGGTTGTAGAGTTTGAATCTCCACCTGCCACCTGAAGTTTGTGTTTCTCTTTACATAAATAAATTGATATAAAATAACTTGGTGCAGAAAAAATGATCAGAATACAGGAACATGCTGAACATGAAAGAATATCTGATTTAAATAAAAGCAGCCTTGATTTCAAGGTTTCTGGGAGTTTGTTCCAGATATATGGAGCATAAAACCTGAACGCCGCTTCCACAGAGTTCAGGTCTTCTGGGAATTTAGCAACCAAACCAAGAAATTAGGAAATATTATGATAATAATGAGATTATTTGTGGTTAACGGTGGCGTCTGAACTAACGGCACGCAGCCGCAGAGGATTATCTTCTGTTTTATAGCAGCTCTGCTAACAGCTTGATCCTGAGACGAGCAGCAGTTTGTTTTGGCGACTTTGTGCTCAACAAACACGAACTGATATAAATATAAAGCTTAAACACGTCACACACAGATGTGACGCACAATTTCACCAACGCGTTGTTTTAAACGTCTGAAGCTTTTCTTTCTCTCTTCAGTACAACTACATGAACAGGAACGAGACGGCGGTGAGGGAGGAGATGGTTCATCTCGCCAACTTGGTCGACAGCGTGAGTAAAAACACACACTCGGGCGCAGGACAGTCGTGTCCAATCACAAAATGTTTCCTGAGGCGAGACGACGGCGTTTCTGGACTCGTTTTGTGTGTGTGTTCAGATCTACATACAGCTGAATGTTCGGGTGGTCCTGGTGGGGCTGGAGATCTGGTCTCAGCAGAACCTGATCAGCACCGAAGGAGGAGCCGGAGAGGTGCTGAGTCGCTTCACCCAGTGGAGAGAGAAAGAGCTGGTGTCCCGCCGCCGCCACGACTCGGCGCAGCTCATCCTGTTAGTGCACGCACACGCACACACACATGTTGTCAATAATGATGATGATGATGATGATGATGGTGGTGGCCTTGCAGGAAGAAGAGTTTTGGGGCAACAGCTGGGATGGCCTTCGTCTCCACGGTCTGCTCCAGGAGCCACGGGGGCGGGATCAACGCGGTACGCTGCTCTCTTCTTATTGGCCGCCTCACCTGTCTGTCTCTTCACAAACTTAAAGCTGCATTCAAATCACGTAGAAAAGTCTGTAAATTTAAACTCCAGGTTCCTTTTTCACAAAGTCTCTCCTCTTATCGCTTCTTCGTCTCCACGTAACTCTGTGAATCAGACAGTTGACCCTGGATCCTACATTTCCCAGGATGCAACAGGATAGCGTCTTTCATGAGAGCGAGAGCTGCCCTGACTTCAAACTAAACGTGTGCCTGTTAGAAAGTCACAGTGAACAGCCAGTAAAGCGCGTCTGTCTGTGACGTCACTGAGCGCCGTCACGTCCGAGTGACCTTCGCTGTCCTCCGTCTGAATCTCTCCGCAGTTCAACAACAACAACCTTCCCTCGTTCGCCTCCATCGTGGCTCATGAGCTCGGTCACAACCTCGGGATGAACCACGACGACGGGCGCTCCTGCACCTGCCCCACCCCCGCCTGCATCATGAACTCAGGGGCCACGTAAGACCAGAACACACGATACACACTCTACAGAGTACTTATACACACTCTACAGAGTACTTATACACACTCTACAGAGTACTTATACACACTCTACAGAGTACTTATACACACTCTACGGAGTACTTATACACACTCTACAGAGTATTTATACACACTCTACAGAGTACTGTGTGTATATACTGTATTTATACACACTCTACAGAGTATTTATACACACTCTACAGAGTACTGTGTGTATATACTGTATTTATACACACTCTACAGAGTACTGTGTGTATATACTGTATTTATACACACTCTACAGAGTATTTATACACACTCTACGGAGTACTTATACACACTCTACAGAGTACTTATACACACTCTACAGAGTATTTATACACACTCTACAGAGTATTTATACACACTCTACAGAGTACTGTGTGTATATACTGTATTTATACACACTCTACAGAGTATTTATACACACTCTACAGAGTACTGTGTGTATATACTGTATTTATACACACTCTACAGAGTATTTATACACACTCTACAGAGTATTTATACACACTCTACAGAGTACTGTGTGTATATACTGTATTTATACACACTCTACAGAGTATTTATACACACTCTACAGAGTATTTATACACACTCTACAGAGTACTGTGTGTATATACTGTATTTATACACACTCTACAGAGTATTTATACACACTCTACAGAGTATTTATACACACTCTACAGAGTACTGTGTGTATATACTGTATTTATACACACTCTACAGAGTATTTATACACACTCTACAGAGTATTTATACACACTCTACAGAGTACTGTGTGTATATACTGTATTTATACACACTCTACAGAGTACTGTGTGTATATACTGTATTTATACACACTCTACAGAGTATTTATACACACTCTACAGAGTACTGTGTGTATATACTGTATTTATACACACTCTACAGAGTATTTATACACACTCTACAGAGTACTGTGTGTATATACTGTATTTATACACACTCTACAGAGTATTTATACACACTCTACAGAGTACTTATACACACTCTACAGAGTACTGTGTGTATATACTGTATTTATACACACTCTACAGAGTACTGTGTGTATATACTGTATTTATACACACTCTACAGAGTATTTATACACACTCTACAGAGTACTGTGTGTATATACTGTATTTATACACACTCTACAGAGTATTTATACACACTCTACAGAGTACTGTGTGTATATACTGTATTTATACACACTCTACAGAGTACTGTGTGTATATACTGTATTTATACACACTCTACAGAGTACTGTGTGTATATACTGTATTTATACACACTCTACAGAGTATTTATACACACTCTACAGAGTATTTATACACACTCTACAGAGTACTGTGTGTATATACTGTATTTATACACACTCTACAGAGTATTTATACACACTCTACAGAGTACTGTGTGTATATACTGTATTTATACACACTCTACAGAGTATTTATACACACTCTACAGAGTACTGTGTGTATATACTGTATTTATACACACTCTACAGAGTATTTATACACACTCTACAGAGTATTTATACACACTCTACAGAGTACTGTGTGTATATACTGTATTTATACACTCTACAGAGTATTTATACACACTCTACAGAGTACTGTGTGTATATACTATATTTATACACATTCTACAGAGTATTTATACACACTCTACAGAGTACTGTGTGTATATACTGTATTTATACACTCTACAGAGTATTTATACACACTCTACAGAGTACTGTGTGTATATACTGTATTTATACACACTACAGAGTATTTATACACACTCTACAGAGTACTGTGTGTATATACTGTATTTATACACACTACAGAGTATTTATACACACTCTACAGAGTACTGTGTGTATATACTATATTTATACACACTCTACAGAGTACTGTGTGTATATACTGTATTTATACACACTACAGAGTATTTATACACACTCTACAGAGTACTGTGTGTATATACTGTATTTATACACACTCTACAGAATATTTATACACACTCTACAGAGTACTGTGTGTGTATACTGTATATATATATTAAAATATATATATATATATATATATATATATATATATATATATATATATATATATATATATATATATATATATTATAATATATATATATATATATATATAATATATATATATATATATTATATAACCCCCCCCCTCCTCCCTGCAGAGGATCCAGAAACTTCAGCAGCTGCAGTGCCGATGACTTTGAGAAGATGATCCTGCTGACGGGGGGAACGTGTCTCCTGAACGTCCCGCGGCCTGACGAGGCCTACAGCGCCCCCTACTGTGGGAACCGGCTGGTGGACGTGGGAGAGGAGTGCGACTGCGGATCACAGAAGGTCTGAAACTAAACAGAGGAGCAATAACGTAATGCACACAGCAGAGTTTAGGGCAGGTAGACTTAATTATGAATTCTCATTAAATGACGACGTTATTCGTAATATAACGCTTAACACGTCACACAGATCTGTGGGAGAGATTCTGAACGAGCAGAAAGTTTTGAACATGAGCAGAAAGAGCTGCTGAAACACAGGAGCTGTTAAAGTCCAGTAGAAACCAGTCTCAACTTTACTCACATCACACTGAAACTGTTTGAGCTGCATATCACACAGCACATTATTAACAGGACGGCCGCATAACGTGTGTGTTACAGGAGTGTGAGGAGGACCCCTGCTGTGAGTATCAGACCTGTAAACTGAAGTCTGGAGCTCAGTGTGCGTACGGAGAGTGCTGCTCCAAATGTCAGGTAAACACGGATTTTAATATTTTAGTTACTGATCTCGTGTTCTCCGCCTGACCACGAGCTAACTCCTCTGTGTGTGTGTTTAGTACCAACCAGGTGGGACGGTGTGTCGGTCCAGTACAGACGAGTGCGATCTGCCTGAGTACTGTAACGGCTCCTCGCCGCTCTGTCAGAGCGACGTCTTCGTCCAGGTGAGCCGTCGGTCTGCAGGTAGAGGGCGCTGCCCCCGTACGTTTGCTCTGCTGAACTTTATTCTGTTATCACTAAACTCTTGTTTGTGTGTCTCAGAACGGGCAGCCCTGCAGGAACCAGCGGGCCTACTGTTATAACGGGAAGTGCCAGCACTACGACGGGCAGTGTCAGGCCATATTCGGACCCAGTACGTACTGAAGATGTTCACCGAGCCTGACGGGACTCTGTGTCTCAGGGGGTTTCACTCTGACTGTGATAAAAACCTAATATATACCTAATCTGAATCTTACGGAGTCTCGGTCCTGGTTCCAACCCCTTCACCACAGATCTGCTAGCACTTGTCTTTAGTAACTAATCATTAGTTACTATTACAAAAGATATTAGTAATATATGTATTTACATAAGAATTATTATTATTAACTGCATATTTTTGGGGGGGTTACCAGTAAGAATGGATTAGTTACTAATAAATAAAAAATAAGCACTAGTGGCTAAATAATAGTGACCAGTAGAATAGAGATGTTTATTAGAAGCTATTCTATTAATTACCAGTAACTGATAGGTGATATCTGAACTGCAGGGCCCCGTAAACAATACTTACTAGTATCTAATGAATTGTTACTAGTATAACGGGGAAATAGTCTAATAATCTAGACTAATAAACAAGTACTGGTAGCTTTTAATAGCGACTAGTAAGTTTAAATTATTAAATGTTGAAACAGCTTACCATACAGAAAAAGTCTAGAGTATACCTAAAGTATACGCTTATATATGAAGTAACCTAGATAACCTACATTTGGAGTGCGCACGTATTCAAGCCTTTACGGTAAGTGAAGCGGCCCAGAGCGAGCTGACGGGCAGGTTAGAGACTTTATCCTGTCAGTTTGTCTCTTTAGTATGAAGAGAGGCTGTGAAGTCTTCATGTTACAACATTATTTATCAAACCGGGTCGGACTGGATGAATTTAGCACGAGGAGGAAACACGTGACAGCATCCGGTTTTCAAAATAAGGCGTCTGTACAGGATGGAAATAAGATTAACTGGATTATATTCACAGAAAGTATAAAACATATTACATGTGTCTATTAAAAGTAACTTTACCGGGCCCCCCCACCATAGTCTCGCCACATCCTGTGGGAAACACTGAGGAAAAAGCTAATTTTAATAAATAGTTGAAAACAAATGTGAATGTACTTGTTCGGTGTTCTGCAAAGTTTTTCATTAAATTCGGTTTCGTCTTCAAGAATTTTAATTTCGGTGCCTCCCTAGTTTCAGGTTTTATCAGCTCCATGTTGGTGATAAAAAATTTATGTAAATTAGTATCTTTAAGGGCTTAAAACCACCACGTTGGCACCAAACAGTTTAGAGATGGTTCTTCTTTTCAGGTCTGAAGTGTTCTTTCAGCATCCCCGCCTGTTAACAAACACATCGTCTCTTCCTCAGAGGCGAAGGCGGCTCCTGAAATCTGTTTCAAAGACGTCAACAGTAAAGGAGATCGCTTCGGCAACTGTGGTTACCACAACTTTGGCTACAAGAAGTGTGAGAGCAGGTAACGCACACACACCTTCATCATCATCATCATCATCAGTCTGTTTGCCCCTGAGGAGTTCTGACTCATTTTATCAGAATTTCCCAGAATGCATTTCACACCGACCACCACCTAAAAGTGTAGATTTTAAATATGAGGACAGTTTATCTAAACAATCCGTGTTGAGACATTTGCTTGGATGTTTTTGGAGACGGTCTGAGATGAGCTTTCAGTCAGCGTCCCAGCAGACGGGCGCATCTCAAAAGATTAGAACATCGTTGAAAACTTCATTTGAGCTCCACAGACGCAGACTGAGAGATTAAAGGAAAATCTTTAATAATAATAATAATAATCCTTATTTGTAGAGCACTTTTCAAAAACAAGTTACAAAGTGCTTTAACATGTGTAAAGAATAATACAAAAAAACAAGATAAGAGCATGAAAAATTTATATAAAATTAGAAAAATACAATAAAATAAAAGAGATAAAATAAAGTCAAAACACTTTCCAGGTGTTTTGAGGTAATCAGCTGATCAGAGTGTGTTTCATAAATACTTTATTCTGATATTTTAATAGTACTGGAGTTTAGATTTCCACGAGCTGTAAGCCGAACCCATCCGGATTAAATTGAAAAAAAGGCTTGAAATATTTTACTTTATGTGTAATGAATCTAGAATATACAGAAGTTTCACTCCCACGATATTCGATCTTGTGATCTCTCCTGCGTCAGGTGCAGCTGCATCGTTGTCCGGGTGGAAACGGCAGAGAGAGCGGGTTATACGCACCGTACAGTGGCAGAAACAGGTTGTAGCAATGGAAGGACAAACTTGTGAACGTTTGTCATAAATCAGGAGAAATACAGGAAGTCGGGAAAATTGTGACCCCGAGAGGAAACTGGACGGGTTGTAAAGTCACCCGTTGGTTTGTGGGCCGCCATTTTAAAGCCTCCAATTTGGCATTTTGGCCGTCGCCATCTTGCTTTTTTGGAACCAGCAGTGACCATATTTGGCCGAGAAAGCGGAGCTAGCTAGCTTAGTTAGCTAGGTGCGTCTGTAATTCACGCTAACTGTGATATTAGCTGGGATGCTAATTTTAGCTAGCGACAAACAGGCTTCAAAGAAAACAGTCTTACTGAAACATGAGCGGCCGACTCCTGATGAGCTTTTTCAGCGGCGCTGGTTAAATGTTCACAGAGCAGCGAATACGAGTCGCCTCTATCCTGATTCACAGGTCGCCATGGTAGCGACTTGGCGGCTCATAATTTACTAAACGAATATCATGCTGAGACCATAAACTCATCAGGAAAGTGTTTACTGAGGGAATAAATCAGCTGACAAGTAGAAACATTTTCTCACAGACTTCTATAGAGTCGCCCCCTGCTGGCCGGTTTATGCAGGTTTAAGTAATTCCTTTGGAAGATCAATTTCTTGATCACATGATACCCGCTGAGTGACGCTCCTCTCCGTCTCCATAGAAACGCCATGTGCGGGAAGCTGCAGTGCTCTAACGTCCAGGCGGTGACGGTGTTCGGCATCGAGCCGTCGATCATCAGCACGCCGATCACCGGAGGCAAATGTTACGGAGTCGACTTCATGTTGGGATCAGACGTCCCCGATCCAGGGATGGTGAACGAAGGGACCAAGTGTGGAGACAACAAGGTCATAAAATAATAATACTAATAATCCAGATACGACGTAGAGCGTTATTCAATAAACAGAAATATATATATATAGAAGAGGAGAAGAGGAGACGAGGAGAGGAGGAGAGGAAAGGAGGCAAGGAGAGGAGGAGAGGAGACGTTGATGCTTGTTTCTTCTTCTGTGGTGTTCAGGTCTGTTTGAACTATGAGTGTCGCAGCGCTGACATCCTGAACTACGACTGTGACGTGGAGAAGAAATGTCACGGACACGGGGTGAGACACCTGTCTGTCTGTCTACCTGTCTGTCAGGTGTCTCAGTCCATCACTCTGTAACCTGTCTGTCTGTCTACCTGTCTGTCAGGTGTCTCAGTCCATCACTCTGTAACCTGTCTGTCTGTCTACCTGTCTGTCAGGTGTCTCAGTCCATCACTCTGTAACCTGTCTGTCTGTCTACCTGTCTGTCAGGTGTCTCAGTCCATCACTCTGTAACCTGTCTGTCTGTCTACCTGTCTGTCAGGTGTCTCAGTCCATCACTCTGTAACCTGTCTGTCTGTCTACCTGTCTGTCAGGTGTCTCAGTCCATCACTCTGTAACCTGTCTGTCTGTCTACCTGTCTGTCAGGTGTCTCAGTCCATCACTCTGTAACCTGTCTGTCTGTCTACCTGTCTGTCAGGTGTCTCAGTCCATCACTCTGTAACCTGTCTGTCTGTCTACCTGTCTGTCAGGTGTCTCAGTCCATCACTCTGTAACCTGTCTGTCTGTCTACCTGTCTGTCAGGTGTCTCAGTCCATCACTCTGTAACCTGTCTGTCTGTCTACCTGTCTGTCAGGTGTCTCAGTCCATCACTCTGTAACCTGTCTGTCTGTCTACCTGTCTGTCAGGTGTCTCAGTCCATCACTCTGTAACCTGTCTGTCTGTCTACCTGTCTGTCAGGTGTATCAGTCCATCACTCTGTAACCTGTCTGTCTGTCTACCTGTCTGTCAGGTGTCTCAGTCCATCACTCTGTAACCTGTCTGTCTGTCTACCTGTCTGTCAGGTGTCTCAGTCCATCACTCTGTAACCTGTCTGTCTGTCTACCTGTCTGTCAAGTGTCTCAGTCCATCACTCTGTAACCTGTCTGTCTGTCTACCTGTCTGTCAGGTGTCTCAGTCCATCACTCTGTAACCTGTCTGTCTGTCTACCTGTCTGTCAGGTGTCTCAGTCCATCACTCTGTAACCTGTCTGTCTGTCTACCTGTCTGTCAGGTGTCTCAGTCCATCACTCTGTAACCTGTCTGTCTACCTGTCTGTCAGGTGTCTCAGTCCATCACTCTGTAACCTGTCTGTCTGTCTACCTGTCTGTCAGGTGTCTCAGTCCATCACTCTGTAACCTGTCTGTCTACCTGTCTGTCAGGTGTCTCAGTCCATCACTCTGTAACCTGTCTGTCTGTCTACCTGTCTGTCAGGTGTCTCAGTCCATCACTCTGTAACCTGTCTGTCTGTCTACCTGTCTGTCAGGTGTCTCAGTCCATCACTCTGTAACCTGTCTGTCTACCTGTCTGTCAGGTGTCTCAGTCCATCACTCTGTAACCTGTCTGTCTACCTGTCTGTCAGGTGTCTCAGTCCATCACTCTGTAACCTGTCTGTCTGTCTACCTGTCTGTCAGGTGTCTCAGTCCATCACTCTGTAACCTGTCTGTCTGTCTACCTGTCTGTCAAGTGTCTCAGTCCATCACTCTGTAACCTGTCTGTCTACCTGTCTGTCAGGTGTCTCAGTCCATCACTCTGTAACCTGTCTGTCTACCTGTCTGTCAGGTGTCTCAGTCCATCACTCTGTAACCTGTCTGTCTACCTGTCTGTCAGGTGTCTCAGTCCATCACTCTGTAACCTGTCTGTCTGTCTACCTGTCTGTCAGGTGTCTCAGTCCATCACTCTGTAACCTGTCTGTCTGTCTACCTGTCTGTCAGGTGTCTCAGTCCATCACTCTGTAACCTGTCTGTCTGTCTACCTGTCTGTCAGGTGTCTCAGTCCATCACTCTGTAACCTGTCTGTCTGTCTACCTGTCTGTCAGGTGTCTCAGTCCATCACTCTGTAACCTGTCTGTCTGTCTACCTGTCTGTCAGGTGTCTCAGTCCATCACTCTGTAACCTGTCTGTCTGTCTACCTGTCTGTCAGGTGTCTCAGTCCATCACTCTGTAACCTGTCTGTCTACCTGTCTGTCAGGTGTCTCAGTCCATCACTCTGTAACCTGTCTGTCTGTCTACCTGTCTGTCAGGTGTCTCAGTCCATCACTCTGTAACCTGTCTGTCTGTCTACCTGTCTGTCAGGTGTCTCAGTCCATCACTCTGTAACCTGTCTGTCTGTCTACCTGTCTGTCAGGTGTCTCAGTCCATCACTCTGTAACCTGTCTGTCTGTCTACCTGTCTGTCAATTGTCTCAGTCCATCACTCTGTAACCTGTCTGTCTGTCTACCTGTCTGTCAAGTGTCTCAGTCCATCACTCTGTAACCTGTCTGTCTGTCTACCTGTCTGTCAGGTGTCTCAGTCCATCACTCTGTAACCTGTCTGTCTGTCTACCTGTCTGTCAGGTGTCTCAGTCCATCACTCTGTAACCTGTCTGTCTGTCTACCTGTCTGTCAAGTGTCTCAGTCCATCACTCTGTAACCTGTCTGTCTGTCTACCTGTCTGTCAGGTGTCTCAGTCCATCACTCTGTAACCTGTCTGTCTACCTGTCTGTCAGGTGTCTCAGTCCATCACTCTGTAACCTGTCTGTCTGTCTACCTGTCTGTCAGGTGTCTCAGTCCATCACTCTGTAACCTGTCTGTCTGTCTACCTGTCTGTCAGGTGTCTCAGTCCATCACTCTGTAACCTGTCTGTCTACCTGTCTGTCAGGTGTCTCAGTCCATCACTCTGTAACCTGTCTGTCTGTCTACCTGTCTGTCAGGTGTCTCAGTCCATCACTCTGTAACCTGTCTGTCTGTCTACCTGTCTGTCAGGTGTCTCAGTCCATCACTCTGTAACCTGTCTGTCTGTCTACCTGTCTGTCAGGTGTATCAGTCCATCACTCTGTAACCTGTCTGTCTGTCTACCTGTCTGTCAGGTGTATCAGTCCATCACTCTGTAACCTGTCTGTCTGTCTACCTGTCTGTCAATTGTCTCAGTCCATCACTCTGTAACCTGTCTGTCTGTCTACCTGTCTGTCAAGTGTCTCAGTCCATCACTCTGTAACCTGTCTGTCTGTCTACCTGTCTGTCAGGTGTCTCAGTCCATCACTCTGTAACCTGTCTGTCTGTCTACCTGTCTGTCAGGTGTCTCAGTCCATCACTCTGTAACCTGTCTGTCTGTCTACCTGTCTGTCAGGTGTCTCAGTCCATCACTCTGTAACCTGTCTGTCTGTCTACCTGTCTGTCAGGTGTCTCAGTCCATCACTCTGTAACCTGTCTGTCTGTCTACCTGTCTGTCAGGTGTCTCAGTCCATCACTCTGTAACCTGTCTGTCTGTCTACCTGTCTGTCAGGTGTCTCAGTCCATCACTCTGTAACCTGTCTGTCTACCTGTCTGTCAGGTGTCTCAGTCCATCACTCTGTAACCTGTCTGTCTGTCTACCTGTCTGTCAGGTGTCTCAGTCCATCACTCTGTAACCTGTCTGTCTGTCTACCTGTCTGTCAGGTGTCTCAGTCCATCACTCTGTAACCTGTCTGTCTACCTGTCTGTCAGGTGTCTCAGTCCATCACTCTGTAACCTGTCTGTCTGTCTACCTGTCTGTCAATTGTCTCAGTCCATCACTCTGTAACCTGTCTGTCTGTCTACCTGTCTGTCAGTGTCTCAGTCCATCACTCTGTAACCTGTCTGTCTACCTGTCTGTCAGGTGTCTCAGTCCATCACTCTGTAACCTGTCTGTCTGTCTACCTGTCTGTCAGGTGTCTCAGTCCATCACTCTGTAACCTGTCTGTCTACCTGTCTGTCAGGTGTCTCAGTCCATCACTCTGTAACCTGTCTGTCTACCTGTCTGTCAGGTGTCTCAGTCCATCACTCTGTAACCTGTCTGTCTACCTGTCTGTCAGGTGTCTCAGTCCATCACTCTGTAACCTGTCTGTCTACCTGTCTGTCAGGTGTCTCAGTCCATCACTCTGTAACCTGTCTGTCTGTCTACCGGTCTGTCAGGTGTCTCAGTCCATCACTCTGTAACCTGTCTGTCTACCTGTCTGTCAGGTGTCTCAGTCCATCACTCTGTAACCTGTCTGTCTGTCTACCTGTCTGTCAGGTGTCTCAGTCCATCACTCTGTAACCTGTCTGTCTACCTGTCTGTCAGGTGTCTCAGTCCATCACTCTGTAACCTGTCTGTCTACCTGTCTGTCAGGTGTCTCAGTCCATCACTCTGTAACCTGTCTGTCTGTCTACCTGTCTGTCAGGTGTCTCAGTCCATCACTCTGTAACCTGTCTGTCTGTCTACCTGTCTGTCAGGTGTCTCAGTCCATCACTCTGTAACCTGTCTGTCTGTCTACCTGTCTGTCAGGTGTCTCAGTCCATCACTCTGTAACCTGTCTGTCTGTCTACCTGTCTGTCAGGTGTCTCAGTCCATCACTCTGTAACCTGTCTGTCTGTCTACCTGTCTGTCAGGTGTCTCAGTCCATCACTCTGTAACCTGTCTGTCTGTCTACCTGTCTGTCAGGTGTCTCAGTCCATCACTCTGTAACCTGTCTGTCTGTCTACCTGTCTGTCAATTGTCTCAGTCCATCACTCTGTAACCTGTCTGTCTGTCTACCTGTCTGTCAGGTGTCTCAGTCCATCACTCTGTAACCTGTCTGTCTGTCTACCTGTCTGTCAGGTGTATCAGTCCATCACTCTGTAACCTGTCTGTCTGTCTACCTGTCTGTCAGGTGTCTCAGTCCATCACTCTGTAACCTGTCTGTCTGTCTACCTGTCTGTCAGGTGTCTCAGTCCATCACTCTGTAACCTGTCTGTCTACCTGTCTGTCAGGTGTCTCAGTCCATCACTCTGTAACCTGTCTGTCTGTCTACCTGTCTGTCAGGTGTCTCAGTCCATCACTCTGTAACCTGTCTGTCTACCTGTCTGTCAGGTGTCTCAGTCCATCACTCTGTAACCTGTCTGTCTGTCTACCTGTCTGTCAGGTGTCTCAGTCCATCACTCTGTAACCTGTCTGTCTGTCTACCTGTCTGTCAGGTGTCTCAGTCCATCACTCTGTAACCTGTCTGTCTGTCTACCTGTCTGTCAGGTGTCTCAGTCCATCACTCTGTAACCTGTCTGTCTGTCTACCTGTCTGCCAGGTGTCTCAGTCCATCACTCTGTAACCTGTCTGTCTGTCTACCTGTCTGTCAAGTGTCTCAGTCCATCACTCTTTAACCTGTCTGTCTACCTGTCTGTCAGGTGTCTCAGTCCATCACTCTGTAATCTGTCTGTCTACCTGTCTGTCAGGTGTCTCAGTCCATCACTCTGTAACCTGTCTGTCTGTCTACCTGTCTGTCAGGTGTCTCAGTCCATCACTCTGTAACCTGTCTGTCTGTCTACCTGTCTGTCAGGTGTCTCAGTCCATCACTCTGTAACCTGTCTGTCTGTCTACCTGTCTGTCAGGTGTCTCAGTCCATCACTCTGTAACCTGTCTGTCTACCTGTCTGTCAGGTGTCTCAGTCCATCACTCTGTAACCTGTCTGTCTGTCTACCTGTCTGTCAGGTGTCTCAGTCCATCACTCTGTAACCTGTCTGTCTGTCTACCTGTCTGTCAGGTGTATCAGTCCATCACTCTGTAACCTGTCTACCTGTCTGTCAGGTGTCTCAGTCCATCACTCTGTAACCTGTCTGTCTACCTGTCTGTCAGGTGTCTCAGTCCATCACTCTGTAACCTGTCTGTCTACCTGTCTGTCAGGTGTCTCAGTCCATCACTCTGTAACCTGTCTGTCTGTCTACCTGTCTGTCAGGTGTCTCAGTCCATCACTCTGTAACCTGTCTGTCTACCTGTCTGTCAGGTGTCTCAGTCCATCACTCTGTAACCTGTCTGTCTGTCTACCTGTCTGTCAGGTGTCTCAGTCCATCACTCTGTAACCTGTCTGTCTACCTGTCTGTCAGGTGTCTCAGTCCATCACTCTGTAACCTGTCTGTCTACCTGTCTGTCAGGTGTCTCAGTCCATCACTCTGTAACCTGTCTGTCTGTCTACCTGTCTGTCAGGTGTCTCAGTCCATCACTCTGTAACCTGTCTGTCTACCTGTCTGTCAGGTGTCTCAGTCCATCACTCTGTAACCTGTCTGTCTGTCTACCTGTCTGTCAAGTGTCTCAGTCCATCACTCTGTAATCTGTCTGTCAACCTGTCTGTCAGGTGTCTCAGTCCATCACTCTGTAACCTGTCTGTCTGTCTACCTGTCTGTCAGGTGTCTCAGTCCATCACTCTGTAACCTGTCTTTCTGTCTACCTGTCTGTCAAGTTTCTCAGTCCATCACTCTGTAACCTGTCTGTCTGTCTACCTGTCTGTCAGGTGTCTCAGTCCATCACTCTGTAACCTGTCTGTCTACCTGTCTGTCAGGTGTATCAGTCCATCACTCTGTAACCTGTCTGTCTACCTGTCTGTCAGGTGTCTCAGTCCATCACTCTGTAACCTGTCTGTCTGTCTACCTGTCTGTCAGGTGTCTCAGTCCATCACTCTGTAACCTGTCTGTCTGTCTACCTGTCTGTCAGGTGTCTCAGTCCATCACTCTGTAACCTGTCTGTCTGTCTACCTGTCTGTCAGGTGTCTCAGTCCATCACTCTGTAACCTGTCTGTCTACCTGTCTGTCAGGTGTCTCAGTCCATCACTCTGTAACCTGTCTGTCTGTCTACCTGTCTGTCAGGTGTCTCAGTCCATCACTCTGTAACCTGTCTGTCTGTCTACCTGTCTGTCAGGTGTCTCAGTCCATCACTCTGTAACCTGTCTGTCTGTCTACCTGTCTGTCAGGTGTCTCAGTCCATCACTCTGTAACCTGTCTGTCTGTCTACCTGTCTGTCAGGTGTCTCAGTCCATCACTCTGTAACCTGTCTGTCTACCTGTCTGTCAGGTGTCTCAGTCCATCACTCTGTAACCTGTCTGTCTGTCTACCGGTCTGTCAGGTGTCTCAGTCCATCACTCTGTAACCTGTCTGTCTGTCTACCTGTCTGTCAGGTGTCTCAGTCCATCACTCTGTAACCTGTCTGTCTGTCTACCTGTCTGTCAGGTGTCTCAGTCCATCACTCTGTAACCTGTCTGTCTGTCTACCGGTCTGTCAGGTGTCTCAGTCCATCACTCTGTAACCTGTCTGTCTGTCTACCTGTCTGTCAGGTGTCTCAGTCCATCACTCTGTAACCTGTCTGTCTGTCTACCGGTCTGTCAGGTGTCTCAGTCCATCACTCTGTAACCTGTCTGTCTGTCTACCTGTCTGTCAGGTGTCTCAGTCCATCACTCTGTAACCTGTCTGTCTGTCTACCGGTCTGTCAGGTGTCTCAGTCCATCACTCTGTAACCTGTCTGTCTGTCTACCTGTCTGTCAGGTGTCTCAGTCCATCACTCTGTAACCTGTCTGTCTGTCTACCTGTCTGTCAGGTGTCTCAGTCCATCACTCTGTAACCTGTCTGTCTGTCTACCTGTCTGTCAGGTGTCTCAGTCCATCACTCTGTAACCTGTCTGTCTGTCTACCTGTCTGTCAGGTGTCTCAGTCCATCACTCTGTAACCTGTCTGTCTACCTGTCTGTCAGGTGTCTCAGTCCATCACTCTGTAACCTGTCTGTCTGTCTACCTGTCTGTCAGGTGTCTCAGTCCATCACTCTGTAACCTGTCTGTCTACCTGTCTGTCAGGTGTCTCAGTCCATCACTCTGTAACCTGTCTGTCTGTCTACCTGTCTGTCAGGTGTCTCAGTCCATCACTCTGTAACCTGTCTGTCTGTCTACCTGTCTGTCAGGTGTCTCAGTCCATCACTCTGTAACCTGTCTGTCTGTCTACCGGTCTGTCAGGTGTCTCAGTCCATCACTCTCTAACCTGTCTGTCTACCTGTCTGTCAGGTGTGTAACAGTAACAAGAACTGTCACTGTGACGACGGCTGGGCTGCACCTTTCTGTGAGGTCAAAGGTTACGGGGGCAGCGTGGACAGCGGACCCACCTGGAACGGTACCTTCACCTTTACACCTGACTATTGGAGCATTAATGCTAATTTATCAATGCTAACTTAATAACGCTAATACACAACTTACTCCTCGACACCTGTCTCTTCATCTAGAACATTTTATTTTGTAGTTTCAGACACGTCGACTTTAGTGTGCTGTATTTTGGATCGCTGCACTCCCTGCACAAATGTTTCACAATAAAAGCATTGGATTCTAGTCAACCCCAGTAGATCAGCTGTAATCCCGACTCTCTGTCCTCCTCAGATAAGGACACGTCTCTCAGAGACGGCCTGCTGGTCTTCTTCTTCCTCGTTCTTCCTCTGCTCGCACTGGGTGCGTTTGTTTTCCTGCGCAGGAACGAGCTGCTGCGGCGGTTTGGGCTGAGCCGCAGGAAGAGGTCGCAGGGATACCAGTGAGTCTGAATCACACGCACACACGTCTGTAGCAACCGTAGACTGTATAAAGACATGGCGTTGTGTCTGCGACACCCGTAGGTTTCTGAACAGCTGTTTTGAAGCTCAATGCTCAAAGTGGGCGGAGCTGGTCGTCGCAAAGAAGCTAAAGAGGCTATATGCTACTCGCCAAAAAGTGATTCTCTGCCATAAAAGGATTGTATCGCCCAATTTAAGTCTACAGCACGATCACTTTTTGGATTCGGACTTGTCGACGGTAACTTTATCCTGGCTGGCGGTTAGCAGGACCCGGCTCCTCCGAAAACATCAGAGCACATCTTGATAAATCAACCACAGATTTTAGGTTTAAACAACTATATTCACGCCTTAAAACTGCATCTGTGACACAGACAAAACTCAAGTGACTGCTGACATCACTTCCTGCCGTCGTGCCGCAACATCCTGAAGGTTTCAGCAGAGTCGGCAGCAGCTGACGGGGGGTGGGGGGGGGAACTCTCAGCTGTTATTTCTATTTATAATCAGGTCAGTCGACAAACAAGGACGGTGTGATGACCGCTCTAAAACTGTCTGTGCTGCGTTCAAGGACTCGGGTTTCTCTTCTTTGTGTAAGATTTAAAACTGAAGCAACACTGGATTTATATACACACATCTATATAAATCTACATTTATATAATCTAATATCTGAAGCATTATGGTGGCATCCTGACGGTGTCATCCCCCGTTTCTATCAACCAAATCATTGCACTAAATAACTTACTAGTTTCAAGTCTTCTTCAACACAGCATGATGTTCATTTAGTAAATTATGGTCCCATTTAGAGGAACAGAGACCAGGAAGCAGGGGAGGCTTTAGGGCGGGGCTACAAGCTGATTGACAAGTCGCTACCATGGTGACCTGTCAATCAGGATAGAGGCGACTCGTATCCGCTGCTCTTTGAACATTTAACCAGCGGTGCTGAAAAAGCTCATCAGGAGAGCGAGTACTTCTGGTAAGTAGGTTTAGTTTAAAGCCTGTTTATCGCTAGCCAAAATTAGCATCCCAGCTAATATCACAGTTAATGTGAATCACAGATGCACTTTGCTAACTAAGCTAACTAGCTCCACCGTCTTGTTCAAATATGGTCACGTGACGTCCGGTTCCTGGTTGCAAAGAAATCAACATGGCGGCGTCCAAACTGCCAAACTCGAGGCTTCAAAACAGCAGTCCACAAACCAACGGGTGACGTCACGGCGGCGACGCCAACTTTGTTTATACCGTCTGTGGTAATATCACAACTTCCTTCTCCTGTCAGTGACTAAAGGTCAAAACTACTACATTTATCTGTGGCTTGTAAAGAGCGTAGTCCTGCCAGACTTGTTGTGAAAGCCTTGAGCATCACTGATCTGTTGTCACTTCCTGTTTTCAGGGCTGACGGCGCAGCTTCAGCCAATCCCAGCAGAGGACCGACTCCCAGAGCGCATCCTCCCCCCCGGAGCAACGGCAACAACATCGTCAGAGACGGAGTGAGTTTGCCGCCTCCAGACCGACACTGATGATAGACTGAGTTTTTCAGACTAAACCTCCTCCTGTCCTCTAGAAATCATCTGTTTAGCATCATAACTTCTCTAAATGTGATCAAACCCCACGAGTCCAAAATGCTACAGAACCTTTCTTATTATGTAGTTTTATAACTTCACCTGTAATGTGGCCAAGATTTAAATGTGATGGAGGCGTAACCGCGTTTTGATAAGTTATGACCTCATCCAACAGTCTGAACGCAGACCCGACAGATCGTCACTCGTTCAGATCAGTTAGTAACCTTTTTTTATTAATCACCACAGCAACGCCCCCGTTAATTAGCGGTAGCTCATTAGTCTCCTCAGCTTTTAGTTGATTTGTCTACGTGACGTATTAACATTAATGTGATAAACCTGCCTGTGACCCTGCTGATCAGGACGCCGCTGGCCTTGATGGCGGTGATGGTGTCACTGTGCTCCCGGTAAGCCTCAGCTTCACATCGGTCTGTTAGATCTCAATAGGTGCAGTGTTGCTTTGATGACTACGCTTTCACCCTGTTCCCGGGGTTCCCAACAAAGTTATTATATCAGTTGGTCTGTAGACTAACAACAAGTTTATCTTCTCTACAGTCTCATACCGTCAGTTCTCTACCGTCTTGTTTACCAGGCGGGTCAACTCATGCAGTTAAATTAGTTACATAAGTTGTGTGAGTAGTTAACTGATGAGTGAATTAATCAGACTTTATCTCTACTATTCGTTATCTGTAGTTATGAGACCGCAGCAAGATAACACGTGAATGCCCTCTGGTGGACAATCTACACAACTGTTAATTATGGGCTGTATACACTGATACGTATTTATCTGCAATTAGCGATAACGTGTATATCGGCCTCCCGGGTATATCACCGGCCTCACGGGTATGTTACCGACCTCCTGGGTATATCACCGGCCTCCCGGGTATATCACCGGCCTCCCGGGTATATTAAACGGCCTCCCGGGTATATCACCGGCCTCCCGGGTATATTAATGGCTCCTGGGTATATTACCCACCTCCCAGGTGTAGTCCCAATGAAAATATTGGCTGACCTGCCTGTGTGTTTTTTCAGAATCTACCTGGTGTCTCCAGCATTGCCTGCCCCAGCTTTAAGTAGCTGCCCAGTAAACCAATTCACTGTTTAGCTGATTGATGGTTGCTTGATTGGCTGATGTAGTGGATTGATGATTAACACATTAGTAAATTAGATCACAGGTGTGAGTGTGTGTGTGTTACTGACAGAACTAATGTAAATCATAGTCCTAACATCCTCTGCTCTCTCTCCATGTGAAGCACCACGCTCAGCTTCTGCCACCACAGGAGGTAAAATACTCCCTTCACTACTCACCCTATAATACTTCTACTGCAATCTGTAATACTGCCACTGTAGCGCTCTGACCTCTCTTCTCTGTTGCTACTTGTAGTAAATATTTTTGTTTATTTTTACATTCTGTTTGTCTGAAGGTTTTTAAAACATTCATTTACAAGTTTACTCAAGTTAAAGTGAAATAGCATTAGCATCAAAATATACCTAAAGTACGAATTTCAGAATAATATTATATTACTAAGTAGCTTAGAAGTAAATTATATTAAATCCAATATAATAATAAAAATATTTTTACAGGGAGGGATTTTTAGAAAATATAATGGTTCAAATTAATACATCAGGATCAACACCTTTTAAACTAATCAGAAAATCTTGCATTTCCTGTGTGCGTGTGCGTGTGTGTGTGTGTGTGTGTGATCAGGTGGTGGAAACCAGCAGGACAGCTCCCCCCCACGCCACGAGGCCTCCTCCTCCTCCTCTGTAAGAACAGTAACACACCTGGATATTTCAGCTCCTGTAAACACTGAAACACATTAGAAAGTGTCTCAGCACAAAGTCCTCTTACTAGCTTTATCCAGAGATTTCAACTGCACCTCACAGTCTTGTTTAAAGACGTAAAGTCCTGGAAAAAGCTAGAAAGTAACTCTACGCTAACTGGACCTAGAAAGTAACTCTACGCTAACCAGACCTAGCAAGTAACTCTACGCTAACCAGACCTAGCAAGTAACTCTACGCTAACCAGACCTAGAAAGTAACTCTACGCTAACCGGACCTAGAAAGTAACTCTACGCTAACTGGACCTAGAAAGTAACTCTACGCTAACCAGACCTAGAAAGTAACTCTACGCTAACCGGACCTAGAACGTAACTCTACGCTAACCAGACCTAGAAAGTAACTCTACGCTAACCGGACCTAGAAAGTAACTCTACACTAACCGAACCTAGAAAGTAACTCTACGCTAACCAGACCTAGAAAGTAACTCTACGCTAACCGGACCTAGAAAGTAACTCTACGCTAACCGGACCTAGAAAGTAACTCTACGCTAACTGGACCTAGAAAGTAACTCTACGCTAACCGGACCTAGAAAGTAACTCTACGCTAACCGGACCTAGAAAGTAACTCTACGCTAACCGGACCTAGAAAGTAACTCTACGCTAACCGGACCTAGAAAGTAACTCTACGCTAACCAGACCTAGAAAGTAACTCTACGCTAACCAGACCTAGAATGTAACTCTACGCTAACCAGACCTAGAATGTAACTCTACGCTAACTGGACCTAGAAAGTAACTCTACGCTAACCAGACCTAGCAAGTAACTCTACGCTAACCAGACCTAGCAAGTAACTCTACGCTAACCAGACCTAGAATGTAAGTCTTAGCTAACCGGACCTAGAACGTAACTCTACGCTAACCAGACCTAGAAAGTAACTCTACGCTAACCGGACCTAGAAAGTAACTCTACGCTAACCAGACCTAGAAAGTAACTCTACGCTAACCGGACCTAGAAAGTAACTCTACGCTAACCGGACCTAGAATGTAACTCTACGCTAACCGGACCTAGAACGTAACTCTACGCTAACCAGACCTAGAAAGTAACTCTACGCTAACCGGACCTAGCAAGTAACTCTACGCTAACCAGACCTAGCAAGTAACTCTACGCTAACCAGACCTAGAATGTAAGTCTTAGCTAACCAGACCTAGAAAGTAACTCTACGCTAACCGGACCTAGAAAGTAACTCTACACTAACCGAACCTAGACCGTAACTGTACGCTAACCGGACCTAGAAAGTAACTCTACACTAACTGAACCTAGAACGTAACTCTACGCTAACCGGACCTAGAATGTAAGTCTTAGCTAACTGGACCTAGAAAGTAACTCTACGCTAACTGGACCTAGAAAGTAACTCTACGCTAACTCGACCTAGAAAGTAACTCTACGCTAACTGGACCTAGAAAGTAACCCTACGCTAACTGAACCTACACCGTAACTGTACGCTAACCGGACCTAGAAAGTAACTCTACGCTAACCAGACCTAGAAAGTAACTCTACGCTAACCGGACCTAGAAAGTAACTCTACGCTAACCGGACCTAGAAAGTAACTCTACGCTAACCGGACCTAGAAAGTAACTCTACGCTAACTGAACCTAGACCGTAACTGTACGCTAACCGGACCTAGAAAGTAACTCTACACTAACTGAACCTAGAATGTAACTCTATGCTAACCGGACCTAGAATGTAAGTCTTAGCTAACTCGACCTAGAAAGTAACTCTACGCTAACTGGACCTAGAAAGTAACTCTACGCTAACCGGACCTAGAATGTAAGTCTTAGCTAACCGGACCTGGAACGTAACTCTACGCTAACCGGACCTAGAACGTAACTCTACGCTAACCGGACCTAGAATGTAAGTCTTAGCTAACTGGACCTAGAAAGTAACTCTACGCTAACTTTCATTAACTGGACCTGGAAAGTAACTCTACGCTAACTTTCATTAACTGGACCTGGAAAGTAACTCTACGCTAACCGGACCTAGAAAGTAACTCTACGCTAACTGGACCTGGAAAGTAACTCTACGCTAACTTTCATTAACTGGACCTGGAAAGTAACTCTACCCTAACTGGACCTGGAAAGTAACTCTACGCTAAGTGGAACTAGAAAGTAACTCTATGCTAGCTGAACCTAGAAAATTACTCTACGCTAACTGGACCTAGAAGGTAACTCAACGCTAACTCGACCGGGCTGTAGAAGCTGACTTTTAAGCGAACCAGACCTATAAGAATCTAACTGGACCCAGAAGGTAACTCTACGCTAACTGGACCTGGCTGTAGAAGCTAACTTTAAGCAGGAGGAAACTGTTTGCCTAGCTCCGTCAGAAGAGACAAAATCCTACTCCCACCTGCATGAAGTTGGGTTTGGAGTTCGGTTGGACAGGTGTAGAAATGTAAATGTTAAGAAATTCTGTTTTATCAGCGTTGTTGAATTGTCTTTTTTATTTTAATTTTTCTCTCTCAGGAAACCGAAACCTTCCGCTACATCACAGCCTCTGGTGCCTCAAAGACCTGCCCCCGCTCCACCTGTTTAACCAGTCAGGAGGCCCTGACACCCCTCCTCCTTTTCCTCTTCTTTATCTTCAAACTCAGTCTCCACCCACTCAGTGCTGATTAACTGGCAACAGCTAAAAAACAATTCTGGAGCCAGAATGGCCCGGGGCCGAACTACGAACTGGATCGCTACACCAGGAAACTGGACCCAGTCAGACTGGACTGGGAATTCTCCAGAACAAACAGCAACGCACTGCGACTGACCTGAAGCAGCTATAGTCTTTCTTTCTTTCTTACAAGTGCAGCTGGGAGACAAAACCCTACTCCCATCAGGCGACACATTGTCTGCTCTGTGATCAAACCAGCCAATCAAATCTCCAGAACGAGTACCTGTGACGTAGCCGAGCCAAAAACCAGATGAACTTATCAGTACCCAACCAAAAATTTACTCAGCAGCATCAACTGTTTGTATCTCTGTTGTTAAGCGTTATTTAGCACACTGACTGGCTAACTAACATTCGCTAGCTAACAGAAGATACAAGATCATAGCAAATGCTAGTTAGCTGCAGTGTTTCCTTATTGTCAAACTGTTGCTAGCATTACTGAGTATCCACTGTGTAGTTAGTTAGCCAGTTTGTTAACTAATGTTTAATTTTAAAAGTTATAAACATGCTAATGCCATTTGGCCTTATCACCAGTTGCACAGTTATTTGTCACTGCTGAGTCATTACCCAATCGAATATTTATTCATCATCATCAACATTGCGAACTCCAAAAACGAGTGGTAATAATTACCTTACTTAGATCTTTGCTAACTTTTGCTAGCTAACAACTTTAGCAGCCTTACAAGTAATTGAGTAATTGTTTCGAAGCATCTGTGTGTCCCACATTTAATACTAGCCCTAGCATTATAAAATATTAACTATATATTAATCTAGCCAGTTTGGTAACTCATGTTTAACAGCTACCAGCACAACAGAGCTCACATGTTAATGAGCTAATTGTGTAGCTTCACAGTCACTCCCCAATCAAACGACCTCTGTTGTAAAGAGATGTTTTCATTCACCACCAACGTTTGTTACTGAACTAATTAGTGAGCTGGCTCCTTAAATGCTATCTGACAAGTTAGTTAGCTACATTAGTAGAGTGTCAGAGAGGCGCGAGCTGAGACACACTGTTCCAGTTTAACCCTACATGCTAGCTAGTTAGCCTGCCAGATTGCTAACAAACATTTGCTTGCTAAGAGCAAGTTTAAAAGATCATGAGCTAATTGAGGTCATCTACAGTGTCGTCCTTCATGCTAGTACTATATAATATTAACTATATATTACTTTTATATTATTATTACTGTCACTGGGTCCTTCAGACTGGAGACAAAAGCAACTTCTCTTCTTTAACTGATGACCATTGATTTTACTACAATGACAGCTGTCTAGCAACTAGCTAGCTAAATAAATACAACACTACTCGCGTCATTCTCTCTGCGCCGTAATTAATAGCTGTGGCACAATTAAAACATGCCAAATCAACGTCGACTGGTGGACCGTTTTCTATCAGCGCAGTGCATGATGGTATATACCGCTTGGTTATTAACCATAGGTTGTACACTACATTCTCAGACCGTTTTCATCTCAGGGCGTCCAGTACCAATGCTTGCAGAAAAAGTGACTGGGGCGTCTTGTACAGACCAGAAGTACTAGCTAGCCAGTGCTAGCTAGCTAGCTATGTTTGTGTTAAAGGTGTTGACAGCCCCCCAAAGCCCCATACCCTTAACCACAACCATCAGAAATGTTAGTACCTAACCAAGCGGGAAGCTTCCGGTCAGCAATATGATGCGAACGCGGAAGTCCCTGAAACCTGCATTCCATCAAACGGCCAGCAGGGGGCGACTTTTCTGGTTGCAAAAAGAAGTGTCCATTAGAAATAATGTCAAATGACCAAACACTTTCCTGATGAGTTTTCTAAAGTCTTCTTCGATACAAAATGATGTTCATTTAGTAAATTATGGTCCCATTTATTTTAAAATAGACCACAAAGCAGAGTATGTTTCAGGGCGGGGTTATCTATGATTGACAAGTCGTTACCATGGGCACTTCCTGGTTGCAAAAACTCGACATGGCGGCGCCCTATTGGCTAAACTCGAGGCTTCAATACCGCAGTCAACAAACCAACGGGTGACGTCACCATGACTACGTCCACTTCTTATATACAGTCTATGTACGTAACCTAAGTCACTGACTTTATGCATGTCGAGCAGCTACCCTCCTTTGTGTTGCTGGGATGTAGCAAACGGTGGCGTTTCATACGGACACTGAAGGGTACTTTTAGCGTAAACAATTCTTACGGTTTGTCACGCTGTCTGAAAGCGTCAGTTTGAGGCACATTGAGATGAGAACGCGTTGTAATTCTCACTATACATCCGATCAGCACTACAGAACGGAGGACTCGCTATACAGCGGACTGTTTAGTGAGTGATCTCGGACACAGCCGTACTGTCCATGCACATTACTGTCCCACAATGCAACTGTGATGGTACTCCAGGTCTCCGGTTCGACTCCGGACCGTGCAGTACGTTCTCGGGGGCAGCCGGTCTGGCCGCGATGACGCAACCTGATGATGATCACTAGGAATTTGCTGCTCACTATTGATTAAAATATCACATAATATAAAGAGTTGTAAAGAGAGCAGAGCAGGAGTGAAGGGGACAACGTTGTCTCTGAGAACGCTGGCACATGACAGAGGTTTAGCTAATGGTCAATAAATGTACTGATTGGCTGGTTTGAAGACACAGAGGTCACTGTCACTGGAGGCGGAGCTTGCACTTGGACACTAGTTTCTTTCTGTCTCTGAGTGAATGAAAGCACTGGTGCCGTCTGATTGGACGTCCCCCGCTCAACACTGTCATAGGAATGTAACGCACCCCCGCTGCTGGGTGCGGGTGCGCTTGGTCTCCACCACCCGTTTTCGCACGGTGCTCTCTCTCCACAATTGTAAAACCACAGTATGCAACGGCGTGTGAGTGCAGAGCTCCTCCGGATCTGTCTGTGACCGTGCTGGAATGTGAGGAACACCCCGTCTCAACACTGCGATGTTCAGTGTCTCCTGTGGAAAACTGGCTGAGCGTTCACGAGGTGACGTCCTGATATTCCCAGAAACTCCGGTGGAGTCTGGCTGAGCTTTCACATGCCCCGATTTGTGACATGGTTCTTCTGGTGTGTTCATGTGCTTTTAAGTCAGAATGTGGAAGCAACGTGGACGCCGCTGCAAAGATGCGTTTGATTAGCTAGGTCACATGGACTGCGAGCTAACCGTTATAACCTAAAACCATATTACAATTGACATGTTACCAAAAAATGTATATGCAGTACGTGATTTTGCACCATTAATCAAAAGTTTCTAACCATCAGCCATGTTTCTGCGAGCATGACGTCAAGAACTCTGCAAATCGGGTACCAACATTTTCTTTGACTTTCAGAGTTGTTCCAACTTCTCGGGAAATCATTTCTCCCATTATTCCGACACCACGTGAATGCACGGTGAGCCCGCTGCTTCTTCGGAGGCTGTTAAGAAGCCTTCTGGGAAATGTAGGCCATCCCTAAAACTGGGTCCACGTTTATCCTGTCGTGTGGGCGTTTTAGTTCAAACAGCATTTTCACATTCAGCCGTCTCAGTGTGGCCGAGGGGAAGTTAGCTCGACAGTTCATGTTCTGTTCAACCTACTCAGCGTCACAGACGGTGTTGAAGTGTCTGAAGGTGGAAATTATCCGTCAGACTCTCAGCTCTCGCCACAGGAACTCCTGCTCTAAAAGTCCTGAGAGCGTCTTTAACGCCACCTGAATGCGAGGCACTGAACGAAACTCTGGACATCCAGTCTGAACACTTAAAAACATTCAGGACGTTTTAGTTTCTCTCTTGTTGTGTGAACGCTGCGGACGCCGGAGGGGGGGAGTCCCTGCTTTCTCCCCCGCCACTCACGGGTTCCATTCAAGCGAGGGATTTTTACTCCACCAGTAAACCAAATGTTTCTGTTTCTGTCCGGCCGGCTTCACCTGCTGTTAACTGACTTGTCAGCCGCCCACTGCAATTAACGAACCTGGAAGCACTGTGTGAAGAGAACATCGCGGTAATATTTTTATCTGCTTTAGTATATTTTTAATTTGCCGTGGACTCCGATGAGGATTAAAATAAGTAACTCATAGGGCTAATCTTGTGCCGTTTGGTCGATTTCAAGCAAAAAGAACAATCAGTGTTTCTCCCGTAATTTTATTCCCGAGAAAAGAGAAAACTCTGGAGGACAAAGTGATCAGATTATTTAGAGACCTGAGAGCAGCTGAAGCTCACGAGAGCATCAAATTACAGTCAGTAATCTGCTGAAATTAAAGGGTGAATAACTCAAATTTAACTAATCTCACGTTCAGACTCAAACCAGCAGTGAACGGATCTCCTAACGAGTCCTTCCTCTGAGCCGCAGAGCTCCATCGTTATCCAGAAACCATTAAAACCTAACGATTACTTTCATTATCAGTTAAGTGTGTCTAAAAAATGTCAGATAATACTGAAAAGTCCCAAAACCCCAAAGATATCGAGTTTATTGTGATATAAAACTGAGAAAAACAGACAGTCTTCACACTGGAAGTGTTTTAAATGATAGTTTCAGGTTAACTATTGAAGTTCTATCGTTGAAGCTTTATTTCCTTTAGCGAGCTCACATGAAACAAAAACCTAGTACATCACATGCAGTATCATCACTGAGAGAATGAACGAGGCTCGTGAATGCTTTCCATTCTCTCAGTGTTTGGCGCGCAGCTGCGTTATCGCTTTATTTACAGTGTAAACGTTTCACAGCGTGAGGGAGTAAAAGGTGAACGAGTGAACCAGCCTCGGACCTCCCGGTGAAGCCGGCGCTGTCCTGTTTGAGTGACGCTTGCTAACATCTGCAGTGATACACACAGCAACCATTTATTTACGGTGTTTTTCAGCAGGAACCAATGGGCTCGGAGCTGAGAGCCACAGACAGGAAGTGAGACAGGACTGACGTGTTGTTGGTTTGAGTCTGAACATGAGATTTAGTTTAAAATATATATATAATAACAGCAGACTGACCCTTTAAACGCTATATTGTGAGTGGATGGGTGTGTATGAGTGTGGATCTATGGCTGTGTTTGGGTTGGGTACTTGTATGATAACAGAATCAAACACAGATCGAATGATCGCCTGCTCTGAAGAAAAATGTTGCTATGATTTTATGGCCCCGAGTTCGGTCCTTCAGGCTGAGACCCCTCCCAACCTGCGTAGGCTTACTGTTAAACCACACTACGGTTTACAGTAACACTTTAAGCCTACAGGTAGTAAAAAATGACTACAAGTGTTTGGGGGTGTGTAGGAAGCCTGAGAGGTAAAACTCAGGGCGGCAAAGTCTGAATGTGACTGCAGTTATATTTATGCTAAACCTGTGTACTCTGTGTGTGTGTGTGTGTGTGTGTGTGTGTGTGCTGTACCACAGCAGGTAAGGTGGGTGTGATTGGTCGACCTCCCTGTAAACACTGTTATCACCATGGCAACGCAGAGAATCTCATTACCTTTTTCTATCATAATAAATATAGGATTTTTTTTTTGTTTTCTTTATTTTGCAAAGTGTAAACATGTTATCTGTGGTAAAAACAAACTTTTATTTCATTATTAAATATTGCTGTGTCACGTGGAAACCTTGTGAGGCTGATTGATTATTATGTTCCTGTAGGTATGTTGTGTGTCAGCTGATGTATAAATACACTCAGGTACAGCACACATAATTAAGATCTACGGGTCCTGAAGGCTTAAACCTGCAGTGAAATTTAGTTTATTCTCCATCAATCAGACCCCAACAGCCAGCTGCGGGTTCAGTCTCGTGTTCACACTTTACTTTCTGGTGAAAACTTGAAGCTACTTGTGTTACGTTCAGCTGTCCAGGTGCAGACGGCTCCTACATTTTATTCAACAGGTGAAATCTTAAAGGTGAGGTAAAGTTTGCAGTCCACAACAAAACAGGTGAGAGGTCCTTAAGTCCAAAACTGATCCTATAAATCCTAAATGACTGTCAGGAAGCCAGGGGAACAATCCAGAGACACGAACACGCACCAAGTGAACATAATGAGAAAGGTGAAACCACTCATACAAGCAACGACACAGAAACAAGGAAGTCAAACATCTGATGACGTCTTCAGGGAAGAAAAAAAAAACATCTCAAAATGTCAAAACAAGCAGCTTAGAAAGAATCAGCTCTTTTTATCAGCTACAACATTTACATGCTGCCATTTTAAATGCAGGAATTTTACTTATAATGGAATCTTTTTACAGTCAGTATTACTTTTTTTTTTTTTACATAATTAAGGATCTGAATGTGTGTCCACTACTTTCTGGTGCAGCGTTGGGAAGGTTACTGTCTAAATGTAATAGGTGTAGTGTAACTATTTTGGTAACTTTATCAAAGTAACATGACTTGTTAGATTTAATAACTTTTTGATTGCGTTTCTAAATTTCTAGTGAAAGTTTTCAGCTGTTTTCAGTTGAACTGGCAGACGGCGGCGCTGCACAAACACCAATCAGAAGCATCAGAACAGCATCAAACTAAACAGGTGCGGCAGGAAACTGCAAAGGAAAAGATTGTGCACATGTAACTGTAAGAGATTACAATTACATTTATTCTGTAACTAAATTACACATTACTAGTTACTCCGAACACTGTACTGGTGGTACAACAGCAGTAGCTGTAGTCTACTACTTTATCAGTGTGATTTACAGTCCCCTCCAAAAGCATTGGAACAGTGAGGCAAATTTCTTTGTTTTTGTTGTTCACTGAAGTCATTTGGGTTTAAGATCAAAAGATGAGACAAGAGTTCAGAATTTCAGCTTTTATTTCCTGGTATTCACATCTAGATGTGTGAAACAACTCAGGACATGTCACAGTCTGTATTAGACCACAGCATTCTTAGGTGAGCAAAAGTAATGAATTAATCTTAAAGTAAATAACATTTAATATTTGGTGGCAGAACCCTTGCTTGCAGTAACTGCCTCAAGCCTGCGACCCATCGACATCACCAAACTGTTGCATTCTTCATTTGTGAAGCTATTCCAGGCTTTTACGACAGCTTCTTTCACTTCTTGTTTGTTTCGGGGTGTTTCTCCCTTCAGTCTCCTCTTAAGGAGGTGAAATACCTTCCACTTTTTCCCCTGGTGAAGTTCTTTGTTTTGTTGGCAGTGTGCTTTGGCTCATTGTCCTGCTGCATGATAAACTTCCTCCCCGTTAGTTTCAATGCATTTCTCTGTAATCTGGCAGACAAAATGTTTCTGTCCACTTCTGAATTCATTCTGCTGCGACTATCATCAGTTACATCATCAATAAATATTAATGAGCCTGTTCCAGAAGCAGCCATGACATCACCTCCACCATGCTTCACTTAATCTAAGATTAATCTTGGTCTCTTGGTTTTGATAAACTGATCAAGAACAACATTGTGATTGGAGGATGCTGCTTGATACTCACTAGCAACAAACTGTGTATCCAAGAACCCCTTAAATCTGAGTTAATAATGACATCAGACAGACTCCTCTTGTAGATTAGTCATGGAAAAGAGAACTCTGCAAGTTTTTCTTTTGTATCAAGCAGCAAAAACGTTGAAGTGTTTGAGTTAATGTGACTTGCTTGGCATTGCATTTTTCTGCGATGTGACTATTGCGCAAGGACACATTGCGATGACGATGCTCAAACAATATACTGTGCAGCCTTATATGGAATAAACAAAGTTATATACAATGGAAGAGAATATTGTGTACATATATATATATAAATTGGCAAAATATAAAATATATAGAACAACAACGATTAACAGTTAACAACAAATATTTGCAATGTGCCACATTTGTGCATGATATGAAGTAATAATTGGACGTGCAGATACATTTGCATATTAGCTGCAATCTCCCTTCCCTTCAGGACCTGCACGCCTCCAGGACTCTGAGGCGAGCAGGAAAGATTGCAGCTGACTCCTCCTATCCCGGCCACAAACTGTTCCAGACTCTCCCGTCTGGCAGGAGGCTGCGGTCCATCAGGACCAAAACCTCTCGCCACAAAAACAGCTTCTTCCCATCTGCAGCCTCATCAACAAGGCTCGGGCCCCCTACTGACCCCCCCTTCAAATAATACAATGGTATTGTAAATATCACTGCATATCATATCATGCACATTGCACATATTTGTTTGTTTACTTTGTTGTTGTTGTTAATTGTAAACTGTTGTTTTCCCATTGTTATTTTTATTTTATTTTTTTTATATTCTTTATTATATTCTTCTGTTATTCTTATATATTTGCATTTGTTTAGTACATATTTATATATTTCTACATCTGTTTATGTCAGCTGTATGTCTGTCTGCGTGTAGCACCTCATCACCACAGCTAATTCCACTACTTGGCAATAAAGCTCCTTCTGATTCTGATACTAAAGCATTAAGTTATTAAAAAAATTAATTTAAATGTCAGATTAAACATTTTCATTAAACCCTGAATTTAATTCTGTTTATTTATTTAAAAAAAATGTTTTTGCAAATTTTATTTTATCCCCCTAACGTGCGTCTTGACGTCACTGCCGCATCACGCAGAGGGCCTCGCTCCCGTGCTCCGCGCCCCCCTCGAGGAGCTGTCATCATTTTACCGGGAGAGAGGCGAAGGGCATCCGGGAGACCGGCCGAGAGGGGAGCCGCTGAAACCCGTTTCTCGAGGTCAGTAACCGGAACTTTTAGGCCCTCACGACGTCCCGAGAGATTATTACGCTCTGGTCTCCCGCGCGGGAGACACGTCCTGGTTTCCGTTCAGAGAGAAAAGTAGAAATCAGTCCGCAGGAATGTGAGACAGACAAAACCTGTTAGCATGTTACCCGCGTGCTAGCTGACACACACACGTTAGCGGGTACAGGAGGGTTCAGGTTCAGGGTCGGTGCTCGTGGAAGTGACGCTTCACTTAGTAAAAGATCAGCGCTGATATTAACCTGCGAGTTTGTGACCTGACGTCCGGGTAAGTTGCCTAAATTAGCAGCAGTGTAGCCGCTAGCCAAGCGCGCTAATGCCAATTAATATTCGAAAGTTACAGCTAACCGGCTAATTACGTAACCCAACACGTTTTATCCCAGGCTGATGAATAATAACCGGCGCTCTGTAGCTTCCGGTCTGAAGGTTTTAGGTCATTTTCACAGAAACATTCAGAAGAGGACCATTTTATACTGTTGTCATAAAGCAGGCTGTGTAATTTTCGGGAACTCATGACTTGTGAAAGGACAAAGTGACCGACAGCTAACGCAGCCAATAGGGAAGCTTTGGAGTCCTATTTCCGGGCGGGATTTGTCGCTGTGAGCCAATCAGAAGGCCGGGGGCAGGCAGCGGTGGGCGGGTCCCGGCTCGGGGTGAGGGAAGGAGAATGGAGGCAGGCAGGGAGTGGAGACCCAGCAAGGTCAAAACACAGACGGACAAACTCCAGCTGAGGCAGCACGTGAAGGTTCCTCGGCTCCGGCAGACGGGAGATAATGAAAGCTGTATTTATTTTAGAAGATTAAAGTCTTCTGGAGGCTTTACTGGACCTTTACTGCCTCTGACTGCTTCTGTCACAGGCCGGGGCTTTGGGGAAGTGGACCAGCAGGACTGTGAGGAATGACATTTGACAGGTTCTCAGGCTGCAGGGGAACGCTTGCAGCCTCAGGTGTGTGTTTGACGGGTTTGTCCCACCGCGCTTCACCTGGGCTCTGCAGCCCAGACCCACGACACACCCGTGATTGTTGGGACAAAGACGTTAAACACAAATCCCAGTAGTGCTGAGAGTAGTTGGAACACGTTTGGTCTTGTTGCCAGAGTCTTAAATTAGGTGTGTCGTGATGTATTGGTGATAACCTTGTTGTTTATTGGGGTGACGACGGTGATAAGACACATCTTTGGTGTGGGAGACCAGGGTTCGATTCCCAACGCATCCAGTGTGTCCCTGAGAAAAGACACTTTAAACCCTAGTTGCTCCAGAGGCGTGCGACCTCTGACATATATATAGCAAGTGACCCTGCACTAAACCACAGCAGGCCAATCACAGCGCAGTATAGGACTCGCTCTAACTGAGGGCCGACGCTGACTCTAATGTAAAAAGAGTCGTTTTCTAGCTTTCTTCTGCTCTATTTTTCTAAAATTGGAACTGAACTTTTTGGCTCACCTGCCAACGGGACTGGTAGATGAAAAAATCCACCGACCAAACATATTTTTTACTGACCAAAATAATAACTTGTCTTTTTATGTCACGTGAACATTTGTTTTCTTACTTTAAATTGAGATAATAAGGTATTCTGTCGAATACAAACTTAAAGAAGCTAGTGCAGCCCAAACCACCCGCCATAAAACGGAGCTCTAAACCGGAAGTTAACCTGCTAAACGGGCAGAGGTCAACACTGTGGACGCTATAATGCTACTGCCAACTAGCGTATTTAGGGTAACTGCAGAACAATTCAGACTCCAACTTGTGATAACTTGGTTTGTGGGGACATAAACACGTGTTAACGTTTTTTTTCCATTTAACGAAATAGTCCCCGTGCGAGAGCTGCAAATGAGCTATAAAGTTATTCAGGACACGTTCTCAGATACAGTTGGACAGTTTACTACAGACACCCAGTGAGCAGGTCAGGTGTGTGCTGAAGAACAGAAAAACATCAGTAGTAACTGTATTTATAAAAATGGAAAATATCTACAAACAGAAGAAAAAGCAGAAACACGAGTGCGTGAAAAATAACAATCCAGAGGCTTTGCTGGTGACCACCGTGGTCATGTGTTTCACAACTTGTCACTGCCACCGTGTATTCATTTCCTTCTGTTCACATCTGAACTCCGTCTTCTTCTTTTTCTCTGTGACACTTTGTTTAGCCTTTTTGTCGCAGGGCGTTCACGCTGTAAACACTTCCTGTTCAGGCTCATGCTGTTTGAGGCGTGAACTCTCTCTCTCTCTCCCTCTCTAACACAGTGTCTCTCTCTCTCTCTCAGTGGACTAACGCACCACCAGTGGACGCTTCATTCATCCCTCTCTCTCGCCGTCTGGGACTGAGCCGGGTGGACTACGTTTTTATCCCGTCTTCGTTCTGAGGTTGAGGACGTCCGGCCCGTCGGACTGACCACCACCACCGTGTGCGTGCGATACTTTAAGGACTGCTCATGCATCGTTTAAGGACTTGTGCGGCGCGATTGCGTCCGCTCACCGCCTCGCAGGCGGCTCAGACTGTCGGCCAGCAGCGGCCAATCACAGTCGCCTCCGCAGGCGGCACAAGGACGTTTCAGCCAGTCAGGTGCTACACGGCGCCTGTGGCCTCGGAGCCGTTCCTAAACGGGACGAGCTCCAACTACGTGGAGGAGATGTACTATGCCTGGCTGGAGAACCCCAAGAGTGTTCACAAGGTAAGGAGCCGTGGAGCCCCCTGCTGGTGTGGAGGACCACAAACAGGGACACGGACATACAGGCGCCTTAAAAAGGAACGTAAAACATTAAGTATGGTCATCAAACGCTAGTTAATGGTGCTGTGAAGCAGTCAGTAATGTTGTTTCCCCCGTCCGGGCAGTAGCTGCAGAAGGTTTGAAGGATTAGTTTATATAAACGGTATGTTTTCAAGTACGTAAGGAGCTTTTAATTGAATGAAAATACTTCTCAAGCTTCCTTTTTCAGTGGATAAAAGCTGTGGAGCCGAGAGCATTTCATGTTTAACATTTCATCCTTAAATTAAATTATGAAATTAATTATGTCATTATCATTAAATCATGACGTTACAGTGAGCTGCTGTTGGATGCTTCTAATACTGCATGAGCGTCTACGACGTTAAAGCTACAACCAGAGCCGCTACGGCTCAGACGACAGCGGTTCACATCTCCAGCGTCGCACTAAGAGGAGCTGCAGGAAGCTTCTTGTTCAGCTCACGTTTATTGGTTTAATCATTTCAGACTCGCCGACTTCAACTGCAGACTGACGGCTCGCGGATATATATTTAGAATACGTCAGAAACTGTAGTTTAACGGCTCATGAATGTTCACGCTCCTGCACCGATAAACACGCCGTTAGCTTTGTGGCTAGCGTTAGCTGCTGTAACGTTTGGGCCTTTGGGGGGTGACATGTTCACGGGACAGCACAGTAAAGTCTTATGGCAGAACTCTATTTTCTTGTAATTTCTGACCATGTGATAAACAGAGTATTTCCACAACCTGGAGGAGTAAAGGTATAAATGAGTGGATTAGTAAATATTATAACGTCAGTATAATAATATATTTACAGGTTACACTAATAAAACCATATTTTTCTGATGCCACTGTGGTTGAGCTTTGATTAGTGCTTATGTTTGTTTGTTTATTATAATTTCAGAGAATAGTACAGGATACTACAGTTTACCATTAGTAGCCTATAAAAATGCTCTACATGGTGGTTGGTCTCCGATTTGTTTATGCAAATTACTAACTTGTCGATATTAAAAAACGTGCGTACCGTACAACGAGTTCAACATTTCTAAAGTTTGCTGTAGCGCCTCAACCTTTTTTTTAATGTCCCGCCTCCTCCTGGCTGTGATTGGTCGGTTCACAAAATGGGACTTTGAATCATGTTTGTCGGCAGCGTCGCCTCCAACTCTCAACCAACGTACCATTAGACAGCTGTGAGGCGGGAGAGGGCGGCTCTCACAGCCTTCTGCCTGTTTCTACAGGCAGAGGAGACTCCGGTCAGCTGAGTGTCTTCTTTTGTGGTTTTTCTGGTGCAGCAGTGTTGTTAAGAGGAGCTGCAGAGCGCCCTCTTGTGGGCAAACTATGCAACACACGAGGGAAGATCTGTCTGTTTAAATCAGTCGGGCTCCACTTCTATGTGAAAGTGCAGGCGTGGCGCTCTGCCCATTCATTCAGAGAGAGGCCTGATCCTGTTAGTCCGAAATAACCGCCCGGAGGCGTTACCAAGGTGGCCTCTGCGTGACGACAGGGTAGTTTAAGTAGATCGTGGAGGTGGCTCAGTGTACGGCTGGTGGGAGGCAGCGCCCCCTGTGGGACTGACTGAACCTGAAGGTGTTCTTGTGATCCACCTACAGAGACTCCCACATGTTAGAACCGAGTCCTAAAGCACCACCAGGCTAATAATAGCTGAAGCTCAGTCACATGACGGAGCTGAAGGCACGGCCTGCAGCAAGACAGCTTGCACATAAAACACAAACCCTTTACCTTGAACCAGGTGAATATTGGAGGTGTTATGTATTAGCGATTAGTTTCTACAGGATTAATGTGGCATCTCTTCTCTATTAAAGAAAGAGTTTCGACACTTTTGGGGTCTTAAATTATATTTGTTGACCTCTTAAAGTCTTAAAAAGCTTTGAATTTGGTGGGCCGGCTCTTTTTTTCTCCCAGACTTTGGACACTTTCTGTCTTTGTCTCTCCTTCGTCCCTCGCTTTGTCCTCTCTCATCCTCTGTTTTGCGATCCGATCCAATAAATCACATCGTCTTCACTTGTCTACAGCGTCGGTATGAAACAACGTGGATTAAACTTTGCATCGAGGCTTTCTAGTAATCGCGCTGTTGGAGTTTCTCGATGAACTTAGAGACTTTAAATCAAACGGGTCCTTACATTAAAACTAAAGTGACGTCCCTATTGGACAAATACGGATTAATACCATTAAAATAAACCCCTCGTGCTTCGCGTGTAGACAAGCGGGCGGAGAGCACAGATGGACTCATGTAGACTACATTGTGATGTCTAGCATTGGATGTGCTGCAGGTCCTGGAGGTGTGCGGTGCTCGGATCAGGATCTCCCACTGAATACTGATGTGAAGTGGGCTGAGCTGCAGCGAGGGAGCGAAGTGTGTTGAAATGTCTTTGTGGCGAAGGCGGCCGGTTATTCAGCTCATTCTGAACTCGTGAATCACCGAGTGGAAACCTGAAGCCGCAGCAGCCGGAGAAAACCGGCTGTAGGGAGCTGCTCTGTCTTCTGACGGCAGCTGTTTCTCCTTCAGAGAGAAGTCCGTGTTCACGCGACGTGTTGTTTGACCACGTCTCGTAGCTGTTCACCGAAAAGCCTTAAAATAATTTTAACCCTTTGAACTCTGCATTACAAACGGTCTGCCAGTGCCTGCTCTGGTATTTTTGCCTGTTGTGATGTCATTTCTTGGAGTATCTTCAAATGCTGCACTTCCATACAATCTGTACAGCTAAAAGGTTTTGTAAGTCAATAAACCATAATAATGTGTAACGTGTATTCTTAGAAAATTCTACAAAAGAAACACAAAGCATATTGATCCAAAATATTTCTAAATGTAGAAAGATGGACAAAATAGTTCTTCACCCTCCACACGTTATTTGAACTGTGCACCTTTTTTAGTTTTTGAGACGTGGTCACTTTTCTGAGCAGAGCGACGAGGTGTTTATATTGTGAAAGTGCTGTCAGACCTAAGCCTTCCATGTTAGCTACACGTAACGAAACGTAATGACGTCACTGAAGCGTACAGTGCGATGCAAAAATTATTTTAGATGGATTTAAAAAGTATAATATAAACAAAAGGCTACCGGGGCCAGTTCAGGGAAAACACCTAGCGCCACAAAGCGTTTTCACTCAGTCTTCCACCGCAAGCAACTTAACGTGATGACGTCATCGTGAGCGGACAATGTGACGGCGTGAAGGACAAAAACACGAGCTTTCCGCTGCAAAAAGAATGAAAGCTCTAGCTGTTTTCATTTTAGATCAATTTAAACATGATCGTGCCAACAACGGACCTCCTGCGGCCAGTTTGAGGCCGTCGGCGTGAGGTCCATAAAGGTTGTAGTAGTTGCAGGTTCTTGACATCCTAATCTATAAATCTAATTTTATCCAGGCTGTCTTAAAAAGTCTTAAAAAGTAAACACTAGTTGTAAGTTTTTATATACTATTATATTGAACATAATGAATATATTAATATCAAACTTACAGTTTACTATTAAATTAACAATATACTTTTAACTTAACGTTCTAATGTTATACTAATCCTGTCATTTAGAGCAGTTCCTCCTCCAGGTTGTGCCTGTGCTGCAGCGCCTACACGACTTTTATTATCTTCGTTCCCTCCTGGCCTGTTTGAATTTTGCTCTATTGATCAAGTGGTGGATGAAAGTTATCACACAGATCTTTGCAGGCGAGCTCACATTATCCCGTTTAAACCAACTAAAACACAAAATGACGCTGTGGTTCACATGATTTGCTGTAATGCTGCAAACATAAACGTCATAGTTTATGTAAGACGGTTGCTTTTCACAGGAAATCTGACCTTCACAGAGAAAACTGTTGGCCCGTACAGGCTGTTATAGGCAACTGAGAAAGTCGGTGACTGCCTCAATTTTTATGTGGCGTTACAACCTGGTGACATACAGGCAATAAATATGCTATAAATAGATTTAAATTCCTTTTAAAAACCCTTTTTAAAGGCGTGTGGCTGATTTAATCAGTTACAGCTCAAAGCGGCGCGGCAGTCTTAAAATATGTTGAAAAAGTCTTTCAAAGGTTTTGAATTTTACTTCAGGATTCCTGTAAATACGCTGTTATCATAAATGTTCACAAAATACCTGGAACATGATCTAAATGTGATGAATTGCCCAGAAGAAGAGGAACAGCTGGACCAACCTGCAGAGGACAGACAGGCTGCTCTTCTATTATTCAACGTCTTCTCACTTCCTTCATCTTTCTTTTTTCTCTCCTCCTCCTCGTCCAGTCGTGGGATGTATTTTTCAGGAACGCCAACGCCGGCGCTCCCCCCGGCGCCGCCTACCAGTCCCCTCTGGGTCTGTCTTCAGCTCCTCAGCTCTCCTCTCTGGTCGGAGCTCAGCCCAACGTGGAGAAGCTGGTGGAGGATCACCTGGCCGTCCAGTCGCTCATCAGGGCCTACCAGGTACGCACACACAGGCACACACGGGTGGGCTGGACCCTCCTCACACCGCCCGTCTGCAGGAGGGAACGCCTCCCTGATGTGACCCGGCACCACATCAAAGTGTGTCGTAAAGCGTTAGTGAGAAGGAGGAGTGCTTTAAAGTCAGCCGGTGAGCCGTCCAATGAGCCGCTCTACAACAACCTGCACGCACCTCACGGTGTCGCTGCCTCCCGTCTCTCCCTCAGCAGATGGTTTTGGTTAAATTTTGTCCAGGGTTTGATTTATTTTGGGTGAAGTGGCCTTTTTAAATGGGACCACACTCATGTTTAGCTTTTCAACCAGCACAGAAGGGCTCACAAGAGGATTAAAGCAACATTATGTGAGGTGTGTTTTTGATCTGAGGCTTCGGCAGACTACGCCGGACGATAGACGAGCGCAAGCCAAGCGATCAAACGCCACAGCGAAGTGGATCGCTGGTTAGTGTTGGGGAAGATGTCCGAGGAACGTTGTTCATCGTCGCTCCGCAGGTAAACGGCGGACGCTCTGTGGATGGTAACCATAGCAACAGCGTCTGCGCACTACACCGCTGTAGCCTATTTAACTTGAGTTCAAATTACACATAACTTTACCTGACAGGCCTTCATCTAGTTTTAAACACATTCTGGAAACTCACAAACGGCGAGAATCAGTCTCTCCTCCGCTGATTTGTGCTGCGCGTCGCGTACAAAAGTTTAAGACGGTTCACCTGCGGCGGGCGTGTGCGTGAGGTGCTTGTGCTCGACCGCCAACGGGGACGCGGACTGTTTCTGCTGATACCTGCTCAGAAAACTGGACTCTGACTTGTTTTAACGAGCAAGATAAAAGGTAACGTCCCGGCAGCGACAAACCGCTTTGGTTTTATATGTGATTTGATTTACATTAATGTTCAAGTTGAGATTTACAAGAAATATATTTTATTGCTGCTGTGTAAAGGGAACACTGCTGTTTGTTTAAAGTGAACCAAACCACATGTTATTACACTGTTGTATAAACAGCAGTACATTTAAATTAACAGTAAAAAGTTTAATCCTTGCCCAGCACTAATTATTACTTTTCCTAGTAGCTGCTGCCGTTACTGTGTCACTTACAGAAAGAAAGTCCGGCAGCTGCTGCCGCTGATGCTCGGACTCGTCGGGAGAGAGCGGCGTTTTCTAAAAACACTGGATACTGCTCGTATAAACAGGCTACATGTGCAGAAAAACAGTAGTTCAAAAGTCGGGATTTGAGTCGGGAATATGATATTAGTTAATAAAGTCTGGGGAGGCCTTTGTTTGGGGGGGAAAGCAGTGTTTCCCATAATTGGCCGATAATTATCAACGCTGACCGCCATATTTTACATTTTTTTTACTAGGCGTATTTGATTAAGGAGCTGTAGTGATTCAGTAAAGTATTATTACTTTTTTAAGGAGTAATAAGTAACTAGCAGAATATACATTTCTGAGTAACTTGCCCGACACTGATGCTAACAGCCAATCATCAAGCAGGTGTGACGACACGAGACACGGCTACATTACCGAGTGACGGGAAGAAGGCGCGTTAACGATAGTGACGCCATTCTGTGGTGATGGCAGGTGGTTCGGTGCTTCACAGAAGCTTCATTTGCTCCTCGCTATCATTCATGTCAGCGTGGCATCAACATCATTTTGAAATACTACATAATGTTCTTTTAATAGAAGAGGAACCAGAACCAACCAAAGTTGGGAGCCAGTTAAGCCTCCACTCACCAGGTTTAATCCTAAATGTAATTTAGTTTTTAATTGAATGAGATGTATTTGAATGTAACTCTGCACTGTTTCTTCTCTTTAGATGGTTTTTTTATTAAAAAAGAGTTTTTTCTTTTCCATATTCGGATCCCGACCAAAACCTCCCGTCTGTTCACTGAGATATTTAACTTGTCTTTCTTCCCCAGAACCTCCTGGAGCTCAGAGGAGCCGACACATACTGTGTGTTTTTAAATGCCTGTTGTTGTTGTTATTTATTATTTAAGTGAATATTAAATTATCGTTATTAGAAGTTGTTGTATGATGATTTCTTTTGATTGATCATCGTATTTATATCAGTCAAACACAATCCTTGCGTGTGAAAGTGAATAAACTCGTGTAAGGATTTTGTTTGATATCGTACGATGTAGAGTTTCTCAACCTTGGGGTCGTGACCCCGCATGGAGTCATCCGATTTGATTCCGAGACACTTGTATAATTGATGTTTGGTTAACCGTACATCTCCCTGAATGAGCAAAGCGGAGCTTCCTTCATGCTCGACGCCTCTTTAGTTGCTGGTGTCATGAAAAGGTTGAGAAACGCTGACGGCTGCTGATGTCGGCGGAGCTCTTCACAGGTTCAGAGATGTGGATGAGACTTGAAAGGTAATCCTGATTTAATGAGACGAAACAACACAGTTTCAGATTAAACTCCTCTCGCAGACCGAAGCAAAAACTCTCAATCACGCAACTCTGTTGACGAATAAAATGTAAAAGAAGAAGCCGAGTTTGTGATGTGGATGAATCCAGCTGAGCTCCTCGTCGGCTGAGACCGACCCAGCTGGACCTGGTTAGACTGGAGTCCTGGTTCAGCTCTCAGTAATGTGGACCTGTGAAGACCTCCGGTAACGCGGCACGCCTGTCGGTGCTGCTGTTGTTGTGATAACCAGGCGCGTGTGTGTTTGTGTGTGTGTGTGCTGGGTGTGTGTTCAGGTGATGGGGCATCACAACACCCAGTTGGATCCTCTGGGAATCAGCTGTGTGAATTTTGATGATGCTCCGGTCAAAGCCGGCTTCCAGGACGTCGGTGAGAACGCCAGAGCTAAACAGACGAACTGCTTCCACTGTGTGGTGTTAATGCTGCTTCTCCTCCCACCCTCCCTCTCCTTCTCTCTCCCTCCTCTCTGCTGTTTTTCTTCTTTAAACCCTGCTGTTGTCTGACTCTCTTCCTCCTTTCCTCTGTTTTTGTGTCAAATCCTGTTTTGACGTTGATCTTTTTGCACTTTTCTGTGTCTTTCCTTTGTTTTTATAAATCTTCCACTCCATCCTGCTTCTCATCCACTCGGCTCTCCTCATCTCTCTCCTCCCTCTCCGTTCCGTTGCATCTTGTTTCCTCCTCCTCCTCCTCCTCTTCACCCTCTCCTTCATTCGTTCCTCCTCACTCGTACACCTCACCCCCTCCCTCCTCCTCCTGTCCTGGGTGGGCTCTGTTGTCACTCCCTGTAGATCCGAGGGCACCATGTGGCCCAGTTGGACCCTCTCGGCATCATGGACGCCGATCTGGACTCGTGTGTCCCCACTGACATAATCACCTCCTCCGACAAGCTGGGTGAGGAGCTAACCCCTTAGAAAACAGCCCGACCGCCGCCCCACCCTCCTGTTCCCACCTGGTCTGCCTCGCAGGCTGTTTCTGAAACGTACCGGTAGTCGGGGGGAAGTTTGGTAAAGTTGGGAACTGGGAATGTTTCTGTGTTTCAACCTGAAATCTTGTTGCTGTGCACGTTGGAAGAGTTTCCTGAACCTTCTCGTGTACAATAACACGTTTCTGAAACTTTGACCTGAACCTTGAACTTAATCTAACTTCCGGGAATGAGGATATTTGCGTATTTGCTGAAATGTGTTTGTATGGTTAGGGGTGTGACAGCAGTTAGCTCGTGAGACGAGACAAGATTTTGGGCATTTTACAGTTCATTTCCTGTATTCTGGTAGTTGTTTAGCACCAATTTTAGGTGGAAATGTTTTTATTACTGTAAAGGGAAACACAGACTCTCAGATCTGTTTCTCATATAGATCAACTTATTTAATATCTGCAGAGCCAGGATTCAGTCTTCCCTCCTGTTTGTGTCTTTGTTTGGGGAAGTGACCTCTTTAAATGTGAAATTACCATTCGTCACAAGCTGACTGCAGAGGTTCACTTCAGTACTGTCACGGCGTACACCGGCGTCGCATCAGCTGGGCCGTGACGTCATCAGTTTGGTTTTCACTGCATGGCTCAAGATCTCGTCACACCCCTAATGATTATATTTCAGAAAGCTTGTAGACAACAAAGGTTTCTAGAACGTCTCAACCAGTATTAGACACGGTCTTTTATCTTGTATACACTAAATGTTTCTGAAAGTTATTGTTTGTGATACTTAAAACTGGAACCATCCTCTTTATTAACAATTTGAAATAGTTTACTTTAAAGGAGTTCGATTTTCCCCAGATCCTCTTTAAAACCTGGGACATGTCGTCTTCATAGGTTTGTCCAAATATCTTATTTGGGTTCACATTGGCAAGCAGAAAAAGATCTGGCACTGTGTGGATGCGGACTATAATAAAGACTTGTCTTTAAATATGATAACATTTACTTTGAGACATTATTCAAGGAAAAACATGATGTTATTTAAGTTAATTCTTGAGAAAACGACCTCACCTTAAGATCTGTTTTGGAGCGTTCACTCATATTTCATGATCTTAGTCAGCAGACGGAGAACTTTACCTCAGTCAGGTCAGTGTTTCCTGAAAAGTTTAGATTGAAGGTTCACGTTTGAGAATAAAATTTCACAATAAGGTTTGTTTAGTGAAAGTAAAAGGACACTTGAGCATCTAAAACTCAGTGATAACTAGTAAATCTGCTGAGGAAGACCATGTGCTCTGATCAAAAGCTCCAGAGCAGTTCCCAACCGTGAGTTCCCAACCGTGAGTTTCTGAGATGATTTCAGGTGACCGTCCTCTGGAAGACTCTCGACCCCAGCAAGATGAAACTGTTAGCGCTACTTGGATCGGTGGTGGTTGTTGTTGGGCTGTTAGCTTTGTGCTAACCCTGTTGGCTTATCAATAACTAGCTACTCTGGAAACTGCAGCATCTTTGATCTGATTGCAGAGAGCTGCTGCTGTAGTTGGACATGTTTTAGCTTTTGCTTTTCATTGGTTGGCTTTTGCATTGACACGTTAGCGCTCAGCTCTGGGCTCGTTAGCTTGTTGTGTATATATAGGTCACGTGGTAGCATACGGATCAAAGAGAGGCTAACAGGTTTGTTTTACTAGTAAGTTAAATGCTGACCTGATAATCAGACTAAGTTTTGTTTCACTACATCATTTAATGTCACATGGTGTTTGTGGTTTCCTGTGTGACTAGGCAAGTTATGTTGCTCTAACCAATCACCAGCGTCCGCCCTGTTCACACAGAAGTGCTAGAGGCTGTTAGCAGTTAATGTTAACGTTTATCATAATAACATTGAGTCGTAGTTTCTGTAGTTCAGCCACACGTCCGCGTTTTTAATCCCGAAAATGAAGCTCTGAATGGTTATTTTCCAAGTGATGTGTGCAGCGAATCAAAGCTCTAAAACCAGACTGAATTCAAGTTAACGTGCATTTTTCTGTCAGAATAGCTGGACAGTTTATCAAAAGGAATCTCTTGTATTGATTTTTTACTGGACTGGATAACATTTTTTAGGTCTTAAATCATCTCTGTCTCCTACTGTCCGCTCTCTTGGCTCGTATCGCCACTAACTGCTTATTAGTTTTAGCATTGCCTAATAACTGGACTCTGTCTGCTTTTACTGAAGGAAAAAACCCTGATGCACACCATCTGATTCACCTCATGACTCATTACACCTACGTTTACCGGACTCTCACACTGATGTAATAGTACTCAAACTAATAATGTTGCAGGGACAGATCGTGAAAGATAAGTTTGAGATCGGACGCTCTGGTATGTGTACCAGTAAGCAAGTATTTAAAGTTTGTAGTGAAAGCAGAGAGCTTCAGTGTTGAGCTCTGTGTTCCTGCAGCACAAGAATGCTTTAGAGAAGGTGACCTGTGCAGAATGGCTTCCTGTTTGGGAAAACCCCTCAGTGTGGGTTGGTTGTGGTTTGGCTTCTGTATTCAGGACTTCAGCATGGTATTAACTGCACATCTCTTTCTCTACCACCCAAATCACACCATTTCTAAACCAAACCTCTGGACCTTTCCTGTAAATTGGCGAACAAATAAAAAGGTGGTGGAGACGTTGAGATGCCGGGGCTGGTTGTTGTGATCTCTTTTAGCAGTAGACGGTTGTGGCGGTGGTGTAAAATTGCTGTGGGTGTCGAGTTTAAGCTGGTCATAGGTCACTAATGGTGTCCGGTTGTCTCTTCCTTTGCTGCTCTCTGCTGGCTACTCCTCCAGACCTGGCTGTGTTCAAGGAGAGGCTGAGAATCCTAACGGTAGGAGGTATGAGAATCAACGACCCTGGTGTCTCTGCGCAGTGCTTGTGAAGCCAGTTGTTCATCTTTAGACTGCAGTAGTGTGCACGTTTCGTCTACAGGAAGTCAGAAACAGATCCTGCTGTCTGCTGGACTGGTTGTCATCAGTCCAGCAGACAGCACTGGTTCACTGTCTTTGCCTTTATCAAACTTGTTTCTGCAGGAGTTAATGAATGTTTTTTTTAATGATATTAAAAGCTAGGCTAAATGTAAACATGAGGACTAAAATATATATATATATATGAAAATAAGGCTAAACAGACTAGGATTTATGTTATTTGTACAAATATGTTGAGCTACAAATATTAGTTTGGCATACATGTCGTCATTATTATACGAGAAGATAGACTTAATTGATCTGTTGAAACACCACTCCAACCACACACAGTGTTATAATGACGTGGATGAAGAAATTTGAATATAGATCAGTCACATCATCACTACATTTAAAATTTGAAGAGCCTAATTGAGGTCAAAAATCTCTTCTTCAACAACAATTACAGCAAAGTGAAAGACAAACGTAAGACTGAGAACTAGGGATGTCATGATACCACACATTTATTAGTAGATACCAGTACCAGTGAAATTCCATGATTCTTGATACCAATTCGATACCATGGTAAAAAACAAACAAACAATAAATGTTCTTTAATAAAAACATTACAAAGATCAACTAACGGCTGTGAAAGGATGTCCCGAACAGAGAGGTGGTTTGATGTCTGTATAGAAGCACGATGTTAAAATTACAACCAGGTAATATGCATAATCAATTAATTTTCTTAACCGTTGTTTACAAACCAACAGGTGTGAAATGTTTAAGGGTGGTCGCTGCATATTGGCAGTGGTTTGAGATTTCTATGTTGAAAAACAAAAATGTTATTGATGGCTGAAATGGACGGTCCCTAACTCCTCTTACAGTAACAGGAGCATTTGATAGACGTTCGCAGGTCTTAGCGCCGCAAACTGCATCTCCATCTTTGGTGATTTTGAGACGATCAAATCTGTGAAACTTCTGTCTAAATTGGCTCCAGCGGATCCCAGAACTGGGAGAAATCGAGGCTTTACACGGAGCTGTTGAAGGTAACAGCCGTGAAAAACGACAAATGTTAAATATTAAACTAACTTCGAGTTCTGGCATCGACTAGACTTAAGTATCGGTTCTTGTGACCTCCCTTCTGACAACATTCAATATAGTCGTATAAAAGATTTTATCCTGAAAACAACTGAAATGGCACCTTAACTGAAATGACCCATTTTGTAAGACCGCTTTTTAAAGCACCAACACACCAACATAAATAGTAACAGTCCTTTCTTTACTCCTGTGGAAAGATGGTGTGTTTATTTGGTGGTGGAGGTGTCAGACATTGAACCAGAGTGAAATGTCCCTTTAAGACCTCAGTACACTGGACACATTCGGAGGAAACGCGGAGACACATCTGACAGAAGGGTCTTTCCCTCGGCTGAATGAAGCAGCTGTTTCCTGTGTTGCTGCCTCTAAATGTCTCCGGCGTGTTCAGGTCGGTCTAGTTAGCATCGTTAGCTTGTAGCTGCTGCTAGCACCCTGCTTTGTCCGGTAAACAGTAGAACAGTTTGTAGAGCTCATTTTTAACTGTGGCCACAAAATGATTAAAGTGTTCGCTCGGAGCAGCTGAAGCATCCTGCACCTCACACCTTTTCTAGACCTGAAGGCAAAAAACCTGCGTTCAGTATTTACCCTGATAGATAAACCTGCACTGCTTGATTATTATTAATACAGGAAAATCTAATGGCTCTGTTGGATTCTATTCATTTTCACAAGACGAAAACATTTAGAAAACAACGGTACCTCTCAGGCCGCCGTGTTTTCATGTCCCGAAGAACTGCAGGCTTCCAGCAGCAGGGTTACGGCTTTTAGATTTTAACAGCCGATCTGTTTGTTATAATATTGTTTATATACCACATAGCTCGAGGCTGAGAAGAGGGATTCAGCAGGATTTTCTAGAGCAGATGCACAACACGCTGGGGACGCTTCCCGCTCAGCTCGCTCTCATTGTGGGTTTCTGATCGGATGTTTGATCCTTCTGATTTGAAATCGACGTGACTCCCACCTCATCTCTCCCAT